CTATAATTGGATCACTTATCATTTATGTTCCATGCATTCATGAAAGCCTTGGAAAACATGTATCAAACCACTGCCATAGTGAAGCAGCCAGTCAAAGGTGTGAGTCCCTGCATCCTCTGTCCAGTCAAGAATATGTAAAATATTATCTAGAATAATTACAGAGTTTTAAGAGAATTCAACCCCCCAGCCCACACCCTCAGATACACATTTCTCAGACTCCCATACTAAACCCTCCCAGCTCCTGCCCCTCACCTGTCAGTCATTCCTGGGACCCTGGTGTTCAGGGGACCACAGGCCTGTCAGACCTCCAGCAGCCCCTCAAAGAAAATATCCTTCCTCCCGTCATTGCCCACCCTATCTCACCCCCCATCCCTCTCGGGCCCGCCAAACAAAAATAAAGTCACATTGAAGAGAGAGTGGCCGGGGCTCCTGCTTTGCAGATCAGTCAGTGGATACCTGATTGTCACTCACGGGTTGGGCCCTTAATCCTATTGTTTCTGCGACAGGATTACTCTCTGTGGTCCCTCTCTCCCTGTGGCAGCGCGCGGGAGAAAGGCCAGATTAAAGGGATTAGCATGTATCCTCCTGACTTGTCAAACTGGGATGTAAGGAACCATTGACTTTCTTGGGGACCCTGAATGAGGAGAGGCAGAGAGGTGCCTAAAAAAGAGGTCATGAAAGGCAGTGAACAAGCCAAAATTCCTCAAAGGACAATGTGATTTGTTTGCTTTTGTTCCCTAAATCTAGGCTGAAAGGTTCAAAGGACCGACCCTGATGAGAGGAGAACCAAGAGAAAAAGGGAGGAAAGACACTTAACCTGATGTTTGGCAGAATTATTTTGCATCATTCCAATGAAATTCTTGATGATGTAATATGTTTCTATCAGAGATACTCTGATGTATGGAACAAATAAACTTCCTAGCTTGTGCAGGGTTTACAGTCTGTGCCTCTCTCTACTTGAGATGTATCCATTATCACTGCATTTGCAGAGCCTCCTGCATCATCAGTGTTCTTCACCACCCTTATTGAAGAATGTTTTTCATTTATGAAACGCAAAAGCAGACAATAGCAGAGTGAAAAAGTAGGTTCAGGGGCCTAAGAAAGATGAATAAAGTACAGGGAAAGAATTGAAAGATGTAGAGAGAATAAGTCAGCTTAAAAAGAAGGAGGTGGTAGGTGCTCAACAGAGAATAAGATAACTCTTAACCAGAGGTCAGATAGAACTGGGATTTTATGGGCCAATATATCATATTCACCTGGATATTTAAAAAATGTACTGATACTAGAACTTATTTTTACAAAAATATAATGCAGAAATAACACTTTTAGTCATTTAGAAATGTTGCCATCATGTAGATATAGATGATTGATCCACCATGAATTAAAATGTTAACTATAGCTGAAAAAAGTTTCTTGCGCAAGGAAAGCAGCGCTCCAAGTTCCTCCTAATCTGAAATTTAGTATAGCTATTGGCCTTGGGCCTCACAGGTTCAACTCAAAACTCTTTACTCTTTCAGGGCTGTTAAGTCAGGGCAACCTTATTTATAGAACATTTCATGCTCAAAGGCAACTCAATGTGCTTTGCACAGGAAAGACTACACAAATACAAGGCTAAAATATTTAAAATGCAGATAAAATAGGAGTACATACAATTAAGGAGAATAAACTTATTTGTGAAAGAGACATAAAAACAATTAAAAAGCAATTAGATTACATAATAATTATTTGTGAAGTGCAATGATAGCAAATCAAAAATAAAGTTTGAGCTTAAAGTCATTACTCTGGACTGATCAAGGTGACCAAAGTAAAACAGAGTGATTTCTTTTTGGTTGATACATTTTAAACATGTCAGCAATGCATTCTGGGCTTTTACCGTTCAGCTCCTGTAGACTAGTAAACACACTTTAAAAATGTACTGGGAGCCAGAGCAGTGATTTTAAAATGAGTAATGTGCTCTATTGTTTTTGGTCCTGGTCAGATTTCTAGCATCAGCATTTTTAAATGAGCTGCAGCTGTTTAATTGTCTTTTTTGGAGGTCCAGTTAGAAGACCATTACTGTAGTCAATCTTAATTGAAATAAAAGAATGGACCAGCTTCTCTTGGTAAGTTTTGGGACACAATCCCCTAATTCTAGCTATATTTTCGAGATGATTAAAGGTTGTTTTTGAAATTGCTCTGATATGGTAAGATCAAAGTCTATCAGCACACCAAGACTACAGACATGGTCTGTGGTCTTTAAAGCCAAAGATTTGTGCTAATACTGACCCTCTTTTCTTTGTTTCCGTACAAAATGATCTCTGTTTTGTCTTTGTAAGGAAGCTTTGGCTCATCCAGTTATTGATTTGGCATAATGAGTCTATAGGATGCAGTCATTAGGTGAGACAGCCACATATGGGTATCATCTGCATATCAATATTGCTTCTCCACAGGATATGACACAGTGGGAGCATATAGAGATTGAAGAGAAGGGGTCCAAGAATAGATCCCTGGGGGATGCCACATGTCATAGAAACTGTCTTGGATTCATGATTACCAAGAGCAACAAATAAATTACGATCTTCTAAGTAAGACTTGAACCAATTACAGTAAGAACTGTCCCTTTAAATCCAATCCAGTTCTTCAGTCTGTCAATCAGTATTCTATGATCTATGGTGTCAAATGCTGCACTGAGATCCAATAAAACCAAAACTAATACTTTCCCTGAATCAGTATTTATCATTATATAATTTATTACTTTTAGAAGAACCGCTTCAGTGCTGGGTTAGCTCAGAAGCCTGATTGAAACTTGTCGAGATGGCCACTAGAAATCACAAATGTGTTCGTTCATGATTTCTAGTAAGGTTCTGTAATTGTTTAACACAGAGGCATCTAGATTTCTGTTTTTAGGAATGGTTTAATGGCAGCTGTTTTAGGTGCCTTTGGGAAAATGCCTGACAGCAGTGAGATTTTTACAATTTGCTCTATGTCAGTTTGCATTAAAAAAAAGTTTTCAAGACATCTGACGGTCAACATGTAGTTGACTTGAGATGCCAAACTGTTTTTCCGAGTTCTTGAGTCAATGGTAATAAAGTGTGACATAGTATAAGTATTATAGTAATATGTATTTATTTTCACAATAAGAAAAAAAACACATCACAAACAAACAAAATATTAAACAAATAACAAAATAGACAATATTCAGTGCATGATGAGGCAGAAACCTCTAGCCTCCATCTAAATAATGTCAAAATATCACCAAATTTAAAAACAACAAAACATAAATAAGATGATGTCTCTGTGTGTGTGTGTGTGTGTGTGTGTGTGTGTGTGTGTGTGTGTGTGTGATATGTGAGTAAGGAGACAACTGGTGGTGACGAGATGACCCTTGAATAATACCAAGAGATTTGTTCATTTTTCTGCTAACCCAGTCAATATGTTCTCTCCAACTCAAATTCTTATCAACAGAAACTCCAATACGTTATTTTGGTTGTTTTATCATTGAACTGGGTGCTGTTAATGGACAATATAAGGATTTAATTTTTTTCACAAAAAAGAGAGCAAATTTGTTACATTTCTCTACTGGAAGGAGTTCTGGGGCTATCTGTTGAGGAGTGTTTATCAGCTTGTCAACTATAGCAAAAGAGTGTGACTATTGTTGATGTTCTTGTTAATCAAATCAGAAAAATGTTTCTGTCTAGCTCTGCGTAACTCATTGTTAAAACGACACATGCTTTGTTTAAAAAGGTCATAGTGGATTTGGAGTTTAGTTCTTCTCCACCTACGCTCAGCTTTCCTTCGTTCTCTTTTTAGAGTTTTAACCAGGTACAGGCAACCCTGACCTCCACACACTCTAGACCAGGGGTGTCCAAAGTGCGGCCCGAGGGCCATTTGCGGCCCTTGAGGGGATTTTTTGCGGCCCGTGACTTCAAATGAAGAATCAGAAGATTTTGGCCCGAGGCCTCGATTAAGTTTGGCCCATTATCTTCTTCTTTTTCATGTTAACAAGGGCTGAACAATATTCCTAAAATAGAAAATGTTCAGTAACATGTATGTTGTTGTTTTTTAATCTACAGCTTTTACTATTTTCCACATTTTTTTGTAAACTATGAAAAAAAACGTATGCAAAGTTTTTGCAAACAAGCGGACTGTTGTTTAACCATTTAATGACCTGAGCTGAATGCAGAAAGCTTTTCCAAAAACATGAACCACGTTAAAGGCTTGATTCTGAGAAAAAAAACAAATAAAGTAGAACGAAAAAATCAAAATATTTGATTTCCTTTCATTAAAGGGTTTCTTTAGCGAGCCTTTTGATTCTGATCTACAAAGCTTTACTATTTTTTCAACTATATTTAAAAAAAAAAAACCTGTGGCCCGCGAGCGATTCTAACACGACAATTTTGGCCTGCAAAGAAAAAAAGTTTGGACACCACTGCTCTAGACTAATACAGAATATCAGAATAGAAACCTATGTTTGAGGTTTTTGTTTCATATAACAGAAAACAACAGAGCAGACTGGACTGGAGTCAGCTAACACAAAACTTTCCCCAAGATCTCAGACAGAATATTTATAAATGTAGGCTTTATGTACACTATGTATGTGCAAGGGGGAGCAATCACTAGCAATAAGAGAGATACGAGAAAACAAGAGAGCATTCAGGTTTCTCTGTAAAGCAAAGCAGACAAAATGGCAGAAGCAATGCTCAAAATACTTTTAGAAGGGGATTTGTGCACTCTTAATTGTATGCTCCATTTTGTTATTTGTGATTGAATTGCCAAAAGACTGACCTATCTATGCTTTTGTGCTTTTCTATCTTATCTTGCAGCCTATTCTTATAACATGCAAAAACAAAAAAAAAGAGGCCATTGATGATCTCACACATTTAGGGACACCTGAGTTGACCAGAGACTGTTTAAAGGCTTGAAAATTGTGTTTTAAATTAATGTATTAGAGCGAAAAAATATATATCCATAGGGGGGCAGTAATGACGCGTAAGGATGCCAAATACAGGAGCCTCGAAGAAGAAGAAGAAGAAGAAGAAAAATAAGAAGAGGACGGTGAGTAGTGTTGTTGTGTTGCCTCTCTGTCGACAGTTTTTAAAACGACTATTGTCATACACGTTGTATCTACTAATGCAAGGTGTATCTCAAGTGTTCAATAAGCCTCATGGGCAAACTGAATAGTTCTATTTGTTAGTTGGGTAATTCAACACAAAGCTGGTTCAGCTGTACTCCTACCTGTAATGGTTAATTTTATACTTTCACCGAGCAGGGTAACTTTAGCAAAGCTTTAATGTTTAGAAGAAGAATAGACGCAGACGTTAAACGTGACTCTGTTTACAAATGTGGCTTCTTGTAATAAATCCCTTTAATACGACACCGAGCTGATTGTACTTTTATTATGTTAACACACTCCTAAAGAGTTTACAGTAGCCTATATTCCTATGAGTAGCTTATTGTAAGAAATTGCCTGTAGTCTTTTCATTTTTCTTTTGAGGTCAGAGGTCAATCTGTGTTCTTGGTCAATCACTGTTGTGACTGTACAGTATCTATGCCCACAGCTTGTTGTTGTCTTATCTCGTCATGTCACACGCTGTGGTTAGTCTGGACAGAATTCTGTCTCTAGTCTCCAGACTGTGTCTGTATTTAAGGCAGAAATCTGACTTAAGTCGAGTCAGACAAGCTGATTGTATGTGTGGTTCTGGGTCTAACTTTGCTTTCTTCCCAAAAACAGTTTGAAGAGTCAAAAAAGATGACGACTTCCTGGAGTGACCGCTTGCAGAACTATGCTGACATCCCAGCTAACATGGATGGTGTGGCCATGAAGAAGTATCGTCGTGAAGCTCACCATAGGTAAGTCTTCTAACCTGCACCAGTCCTGTTCGTTCACTATGAGATATGTGCACAGCACTAAAGAAGCAGGAGATTTACACACTTAGTAATGCTATAGATGTTCATTTGTTTTTGAGAAACAATGCTCAGGCTTAATCATATTTTATTGGTTAGTCATGAACACATTAATTACTATAAGAAAATAAAAATGCAAGATTGCCCCTTAATTCAGACTATTTTCCAGTGTATCAAAGTCATGACCCCCTTGAAAACATTTTCACATAAGAAAGTATTTTTACTGTGGTTTTCATAAAATAAAGTGTTGCTTAATAAATTAAAGGTCAGTTGGTGAAATATGCAAGTTTAGTTCAATAACAAAGCATAGGTATAATTTACCCGAGGTAAACACGTGCAAAGAACATTTTTATTAACAAAGCATTTCTTCCCTTTGATCTCTTTTAATCGATCACTGTAAACAACTTTCCTTGCTCTGTAAAATCAGGAAACATCACTTCACCCCAAAGTCTTTTGAACAGTTTTGATATACTTATTTCAAGTGTTTGGCTCTGTGTTGCCTTGGAAAACCAGCCTTATCTGTCACACAGACGGCGAACATAATTTCACATTTTGTATGTAATTATTCCACCCATTTCAACTCGCTTAAAGTGTTGTCTTATTATTATTTTTGGAACGTTTCTTTGTCTGTTATGTTTAATACTTTTGGATTTTAGCTGTTTAGCATTTATGGGAAAGTTATTTTTGTCGAAAGTGGGGGGGGGGAGGGTGTAAGAGTCGGGTTATGCGAGTTGCCTATCAATGGTCAGAAAAAAAATAACAAGTTAGTATTTTAGTATTAATAGGGGGTTAAGGCACCTATGAGTGACTGGATGTTTTTGGACCCTAGATTGTAATCTCAAAGCTAATTTATTTGTGTTTATCAAAACATTTCTGCTGACTACTGTAATTTAGCTTGCGCTTCACCTGGCAAAACACTTTCCCCCCCAAGTTTATCCGACAGTAACAAGAATAGGGAACTCTGACAAAACTGTTTGATCAAATGTGCCCTAGCCCTTCAATGAAATGCAAGAATGATACGAATTTTACTTCAATACTAGTTTGTACCTATCTCAGCATTTTCACCACAGTGACCACGGTGGTAACAACTATCTAGTAGTGAAAGCTGATGTCAGATATCTGGTCAAATTCCTAATCATGTTAACCTTTTAGTTTTTTGTTACAAAGCTCTGGTTCAGCTCTGTGTGTACTACAATACTGTCATTTTGTTTTGTTTTCTTGTACAGCTCACATTTATCATTGACTTTTACCAAGACTGAAAAATTCTCAGTTTCACTTTAAAAAAATCTGAATTATAAACATGAAAAGACATTTAGATGTAACATTATATACATCTCAAATTGTTAGAGTGCATACATGAAATGTGTCAGATGAAATGACAGTTTTCTTTTGAACTGTTCTGGTTTCTGTGTGTTGTATGTGTAAAACTTTGATAGAGATGGCAGGTAATTAAGGTAGGTTTTATTACTGTTAGGATAGAACAGGGTCCTAAGCTGCAATAGAATATCTTCTTTACTGACCAAAACAATACAGTAGAGCAATGCAGCAACCATGAGTTCAGTGGTAATACGACATTTATTCTCTATTACAAAGCTTGCCAAAGGATCTGGCTCAAAACCATCCTGCAATGAGGTATGACATCCTTTCGTTGTTGAAACAAACTGACTACTGACTCAATGAGTCTTCAGTTTGATGTCCATGTGAATTGATTCTTCATCCAACTCTCATGGACTCTAATTGTGAGTTGGGTTTCTCCCTGTTGGGACAGTAGGTGGTTGTCATTCTTTTTTTAGTGTGAGCTTGGCCTTTTGCATTTCCTTGGTCCTTCATCTTTTCCTTTTAATCATCATGTGTTACAGTCAATCTGATCACCTCTCATCCCATCTGACCAGTGTGCAGTCTCAAGTAGTAGAGTCACAGATTTTATGTTGAAGTTGTATAATCTGTATTCTTCTATATAGGCTGTCAGCAATGTAAGAAAGGGGCCATATCTTCCTGAGTTTACAATATTGTCTTTCATGTTGGAAGAACATATTGTGCACCAGTCTGAGAGTTCCCAGAAAAAGTAATGGAAATAAAAAAACTTTGTTTCCAGATCTGAAAATATATTTACATCTGTTAATCTCAACTATGCCCCCCCCCCCCACACACACACACAACTGATTTTGCAGCAAAAACCTGCCTTACTGTGGTTTATATTTGTTTAAAATCAAATGAATGAAGATACTCTTTTAGTGCAATGAAGACTCATATGAGTGCTTCTCTAGCAGTTCTGCACAGAGTATTGAGATCATTTACTTACTTAAAGTGCTAATATAAAATCTCCCTGATAAATTAATGATCAGCATTGAAATAATTACTCAGAAAAGTAGTCAGGTATCCAACGTAAAAGTAGTCAATTCAAAACAAAGTATGGTTTGTATAAGATATCATTAGATGTCCCTACATTATTAGTGCTGTGTAGTATCATGAATGTGTTTAAAAAGCAGGATTCTACTGTTGTAGTTTGGTAAAGGTGGAGCTCATTTTGAACTATTTGGTGAAGGACATTTGTCAACATAAACTCCCCATTTTAAGGGGAAACTGTAGGCCATTGTCAGGGCTAGGATGATTTATTATAGAAGCACTGATCACTGTATAAATAACCAGCCAACTGCATGTATGTTGTTGTGATTGTTAAGTTGAATTCAAGTGTCTCATGGGAGTTCCATCAAACACAGCCTGACATGTAGCTTTGGCTAAATCTCTGACCCATTGAATAAAAAAGCAGAAAATTAAAAGCAAGATGTGACTCCTGTGTTATTGATCTACTTGTCACTGTGAACTAGAAGTTTGTGTTAGAAGTCTAATCATTGCTACATTTAATTGAATCTGTCGAGCATCGTTTGATTCCACATTGTTCTCCACTTCCAGAGTTTTTGTCAACCGAAGCCTGGCCATGGAGAAGATCAAATGTTTTGGTTTTGATATGGATTACACTCTGGCAGGTAAGTGTACTTTGAGCGTAGCAGTATCAGCCTTGATAAATACATACAGAGGCCTACACATGACTGCATGTGAACTCTGAGTCAATGACAAAGCCTTCCCTATGTCATAATCTTTAAATCATGATTGAATGTGAAGTGCTTTTTATGTTTGATTTAAAGGTCTATTGTTGACTACACAGAGTAGTTTATACAACCATGAGCCTTCTCCATTTTATATGGCTATAAGTAATAACACAGGTTAGATATTATTATAATCCAGATCGGTGCTTGAGGGATTTCTTTCTTACTGTACTCATTTAATTTTTTATAAAATACCCCTTTATCATAGCAACGATTCTTGATTTGTGATTGCACACATAAGCATGTATCCCCGTCTATTTCTCTAGTGTATAAATCTCCTGAATATGAATCGCTGGGCTTCGACTTGACAGTGGAGCGTCTGGTGTCCATTGGGTATCCGCAAGAGCTGCTCAACTTTGTCTACGATCCGTCCTTCCCCACCAGGCTAGTTCACAAAGCTATACCTTTCTAAAAATCAATGTTAATGATTAATTCATATTTAAACAACGTATCAACAAATTCTCCCTCCCAAGTGTGCTTTCTGTGTCTGACTTTCTGACTTCTCTCCATTGTCCTCAGAGGTCTGGTGTTTGACACAATGTATGGCAACCTGCTCAAAGTAGATACCTATGGGAACATCCTGGTGTGTGTGCACGGATTTAACTTCTTGAGAGGGTGAGATCTACTATTCGCACTGAGCTGTCAAAATAGTGCTTTACATTTTTTTTTAAATAGGGGATTTACAAATTCAGTTAATCCTTTGTCCCTGCTCAGCTACATCCGTCTCTACAGCCTCTTTAGCCATGCAAGTTGCACTGTGATGCTGTTCTTTGAGCTAAAAGCTTACATAAGCTTGCTGACATGCTGATGTGAATTGGGTACTATAAATGAGTATAAATTCCATTTATACTCACTTGGTTGAATATGTAATTGTCAAATTTAAATTGAGGGGGTGCTAAAAGAAAAGGTCTGAGGCAAGATGCCCATTTCTGAACACGCAGTGGGAGCTAATTGACATACAATGCATTTGAAATAATTTACTGTATATGTAGCATAATTCATTCATCATGTTTTCACCTTCTTTATTACTTGTTAGTGTTACCCTCCTGTACTCTCTGTGCACAGGCCTGACATCAGGGAGATGTACCCCAACAAATTTATTCAACGTGGAGACACAGACCGCTTCTACATCCTCAACACACTCTTCAACCTGCCTGGTAACAAACCACATTTTTTAAGAAGTAGTCCATAAGTTTTTATAAATTTTAGAAGGACAGTATTTCTATCTCTATATAAGTATAACAATTGAATTATAAATGTAACAGTGCTAGTTATTAATTTTAATCAGTGTGAATCAGCTTAGCATGATTAACCATTTTCCCACATCAGGCTTCAAGAGTTGATTTTTCATTATAATTGTGATAATTTCACATCCAGACAGAAAAACAAACAAAGAATCAATAGTCACTGCTGCCTTTAACGCTGTCTGTACAGTAGGTGTGAATGTGAGTGTGGCTGGTTGTCTGTCTCTATATGTCAGCCCTGTTATTGACTGGTGAACAGTTCAGGGTGTACCCTGCCTCTCGCCCAATGGCAGCTGGAATCGGCTCTAGCCCTCTGCAACCCCAAACGGGAAAAAAGCAGTATAGATAATGGATGGATGGATCTTAAATATGATTTGGCATTATAGCACAACATTAGATTTGGGTTTTTATTATCTCTGAAACAAGACTCCTAGTATTGCTGATAATATCCAACTGTTTGTGGAGTACCTCATTGATCCGTCCTCGGTCCCCTGCTTTTCCCATTTTAGATATGAAACTAGAACACATAATTCTAATAATCCCACATAATATATATATTTTTTTGGCCAATCAGTAACAGTCCATTAATCATTCTCAGTGCATCCTGTGTTAAATTCAACTTTGCTGTTAAATAATTTCCTTCAACTAAAACAAACCACAAACTAAAGTCATTATCATGGCCCTGAAACCACATGAAATGGTATTACACCACATCTTGGTTCCCTCTCCCAAACTATTACCCGTGGCTGCAGTGGTAAATGTTCTTCATTTCATCAGCCTGTGTAAATAATTGTCATATTTTACACCTGCAATAATGGCCTCATGTGATTGCGTCACCTAGGATGTAAGCATGTTTATACCAGGTCTAAAGAGGGCATCAGTTGGAAAGTATTTTTGAAAGCAGTTGAAGAGAAAAGGTGCTTAGAGTGGATTTCCATATGATTCCACAGTTTTTTCTACATTGCTTTTGATCATATTGAATGTATGCATATCCATGAGCTATAGTCAGTCTTACTGATTCACTCTTATTTCTTGTTCATCAGAAACTTACCTCTTTGCTTGCCTGGTGGATTTTTTCAGTACCTGCTCCAGATACACAAGGTACTGCATACTCACTGTTAGTTCCAAAATAAAGTTTGTTTCTAGAAAGTGAAGCTGGTGAGAATGATAGCCTTCCCAATAACAACTGTGAGTGGTCAAGTTTCAGTGCAATTTCAGTTTCCCATGATGTAGTGGATTGGGGGGACTGGGTGGCATACTGAGTCTTCAGCATATTCCCAAAGTCCATGTTATGAAGAATACAAAGTTAACCAGATCAATCTGCTTTTATAGCTGTGAGACTGGCTTCAAAGACGGTGACCTTTTATTGTCCTACAAGAGCATGTTCCAGGACGTCAGAGACGGCGTAGACTGGGTTCATTTTAAGGTTAACAACTTGACTTTTCCACATTCAATCTGTTTCCAGGCAGATGTTAGCCATTCCCTGCAATGAATTCATTCACATATTTTAATTAAATGTTTCATTTATTTCCTCAGGGGTCCTTAAAAGAAAAAACAGTTGAAAACCTGGAGAAGTATGTGGTTAAAGATGTAAGTAATCTAGCATTATAAGGACTTCAGCTCATGCATTTACACAAAAAAGAAACACCAACGTGGTTCTTTAACTATTAGTCAGAGGGACAAAACTGAAATATTCTAAAGTAGTAAAATAAACACATCGTCTCATTGATTTTGCTATGTATTGTCTGCATTGATGTTTGTTCTGTCTTTTCTCCACAAAGCCGAAGCTTCCTCTCCTGCTCAGTCGCATGAATGAAGTAGCCAAAGTATTTCTGGCCACCAACAGTGATTACAAATACACAGAGGTGGGATGAAAGTTCACATGTTAATGAATGTTTAGAAAAGTCACTGTCCTGTTTTATGTATTTGTTTAATCTATGTAGAAAAAAAAGTATTTAAATACTGACTAATTTAATAACTGAATGTGAGCTGTTTTTTTTAGTTTTATTGTGAAGTAATAATAATGCTCAGTAATGTTAATGAATGATTTAAGTTTAGCTGTGGAACAAGAGTTAGAGCAAGTTGTCCACCAATCAGAAGATTAGTCGTTTAATCCCTGGTTCCTACAATAGCTGTCTTTGGTGTCTGAGTACACTGAGTGTCTGTGTGTGAATATATTACATGGCAAGTTGTTAAAGGTCACATATTATGCAAAATACGCTTAACCATGTTAAATGCTTAACCATGTTAAACAAACATTAACATGTTTAACTAGTCTGTCTACAATCCCCTCAATTATGAGAAAGTCCATCCTCTCCATCTTTTGCCTGCTCCACTTTTCAGAAAATGTGTGCTAAAACAGCCGTGGAGATTTCCCTTTGTGATGTCACAAAGTAACCCCTCCCCCATGTTGGTGACACTCCCACAGCTAGGTGTTTGTGCCGCCCTCTGAGTCTGCCTTCTCACCATAAACAATATGGCATGGAATGAGAAAGCCAGAGTCACCCAGGCCCTTCCAGAGAGGGGCGTGGTCAGACACAGCTCATTTGCATTTAAAGCTACAGACACAGAAACAGCCTGTTCTGAGCACGGCTAAAATAGAGGGGTTTATAGGCATGATCAAATGCAGGATCAGAGTGGATTTTTGGCGAGAAACTTCACAGACATGTTTTGGGGACATCTGAGACTTATTTAAACCCGTTGCCAATGAGTATAGTATGTGACCTTTGACGTGTTTTGAGCCCTTTGTTCTTGATCCTTTTTTTTCTTTTTAAATAATCTCCTTTGTTCTTACAGAAAATTATGACCTACCTGTTTGACTTCTCTCACGGGCCAAAGGTAACAAATAATTCAATAATATTTTGAATGTCAGGATTTCAGTTGATTTGGATTGAAGTCCCTTGTTTAGAAATTGCTGATGGAAGTATTACATGACGGTGCATAATGTTAGTAAATCAGACACAAATAGATTTCCTTTAAGTATATATATTTTTACTTATCTGGTTTTACGATGTAGGACTTTTTAACAAAAGTGGTCAACATTTAAAATAATATGGCAAACTAGTAATCTCTCAGGCCTCTGAAATGAAGCCTTCTAATGACTCTAAATACTAGGCTTACTGTGTTTTTTTTTTACTATTTCAACTAGTTTAAGGTGTCTTTATACTCTCATCTACTACAGACACAGCAGCACATCAAGTGCAGCCCCCAGCTCAGTATGTCAGGGAAGCTTTCTAATCGCTCCACTCAAGAATACTCCTGAAGTTTATAGTTTATAGTTTCATTGTTTCATCATCTTGTCCCTGCCACAATTGCCCCTCAGCTGGCTTCCAAGAAGTTGACTAATAAGAGTTTGAGCCTCAAAGAGACGGGAGACTTGTTTCAGATAGAGGCTAAACTAAGGGGTTGCATAAAGGCCCAGTATGAGTTAAGGAATTGTGATGTGTGAATCATGGAAAGCTACTCTTGTAGAGTCCCAGAATAAAAATATAAACCTGGAAATTAGTATAAGAGGTTATTTATAAAAACCTTTGGCTTCATATATGACATTTTGTGTGTTTATTACAGCCGGGTACTTCCCATCGGCCATGGAAGTCCTACTTTGACCTGATCTTGGTGGACGCCCGCAAACCTGTGTTCTTTGGAGAGGGAACAGTGCTGCGGCAGGTTGACACTGTGAGTACAATAAGACCTTCATGGACAAAACCCTCTACACTGCCATGTTTGTATGTATAATTTTAAATGTAAAATGGTTGGGTCAGCTACATGTTTGCTTGAAACACAAATTTAAAGTTGTACATGTTTATTATGATAATTAAATGACTCAGTCCATTATTTGCTCATTGTTTATTTTTTTCTCCAGACCACAGGTCGGTTAAGGATTGGCACTTACACTGGACCGCTCCAGCATGGTATCGTTTACTCTGGAGGTAAATAAGAAACCTTCTCAAAACTGCATTTTATTTGTCTTTGTTTTTGCTTTGAAACTTAAAATACTGCTATTGTGATGAAGTGATGGTTGCACATTGTATATGATTAAAATTATTTTTCACTTTACTGTAATGTAGCAGGTTGTGATTTGTATAACTGATTTGCTATAATACATGTTCTTAAGGCTGAATCAAGAGGCTGTATACAAATCAAAATGAATAGTGAACATTTTAAAGCTTGTAAAATGCTTACTTTGATGTTAATTAGAATATACCTCCAGTTCTATTTAGTTGAACTAAATCATCATTATCTGACTGATGTTTTTTTTTTTTTTATCTGGTTAGAATGGAACAAAAATATAATTTCTGTTATCAACTTTTTTTGGTCAACGGTTAAAAAAACAGACTTTATTTTGTCTTTAAACCCCTCGTAAAAACTGAAGTGTGGACAGCATTAACACCATGTAATTGAATACTGTGTTCCCATATGTGGCCCTGTACTGTGGTCCATAAAGTTTACTGCAGGCTGTACATGGAGAATGCCAACATCATTCTTCACTGCCCTTTTTCTCAAGAGGTTTTGATGCAATGGGAAAAAGTCCCCAAACTCACATACTGAGAATGCCATGTTTTCTATTTCATATCTCAGGTTCTTCAGACATTGTGTGTGACTTGCTGGGTGCTAAAGGAAAGGACATCGTCTACATTGGAGACCATATATTTGGTGACATTCTCAAATCCAAAAAGCGTCAGGGCTGGAGGACGTTTCTGGTGATCCCTGAGCTGGCCCAGGAGCTGCATGTGTGGACTGACAAGAGCTGTGAGAATGGACACATGTACACTCATAGACACACGCGACTGCTTAAAAGATATACACAGTGTAGTTTGGAAGTAATTAGATTTAAGAGCTGTTATAATCTCACTTTATCAGAAGTGTTGTAGCATTAACAGCAGCAGCAATAATTCACTGTAATTTTATAGTCTATCAAATGTTCTTATTTGAGGACATGGAGGATACTCCTAGTATAACATGCATGACAAGAGTGACATGGCTTCAGCCTTGTTTTGATTTTTATTGGTCTATAATTAACTAGCTTCAATCGAATGACAAACCCTAATGCCAGTTGTTGTTTTTCAGCCATATTTGAGGAACTTCAGTCTCTGGAGTGTTTCCTGGCAGAGCTCTACAAGTGAGTTCCTCTTTGTAAATGCTGTTTTCTTGTGGTGGTGTTGTTGTTTTTAATCCTTGATACACTTTCTTAGAGATTGTGTAGGGGGAATGATGGAAATAAACATACGATTTATGAGAATTGGTTTAGTCACATCAAAGTTTCAGTAAGCACTCATTGGGGTTAACGCTGTATAATAAATAGCCTGAAAGGCGATGCTACAAGGTCAGAGGTATCCAGTGCTATAGGATTCCCTGAAGGCACTGTGTTTCCCAGTAGTTATATAAAGCCCCTGCAGTTCAAAACATGAAAAATACCAATTCATCTCTTTGCACTAGCTCATTCAAATTGCATTCCATTTGGTGTAATAGACTGTAAAAGATCTACCTTAGGTAAAGAAGTGTCTGTTTATTAAATAAATGTGATCCAGGCTGTCTCTGTTTAATGTCTCTGTTTCAAGACAGAAAAGTGTAGAAATTGGCCGCCTGTTTTATAATTTTGCCTTGAAAGCATCATGTGGCAACTGTATTTATTTGAAATAGACTCGGGATCACTGATCACACGTGTGTGTTTTGTTGTCAGGCATCTGGACAGCAGCAGCAATGAGAGGCCAGACATCAGCTCACTGCAGAGACGGATTAAGGTACAACTCTGTCTCACACAAATGAACTTCCTCCTGTCTTTCAAAATAAAAGGGCTCCACTAATCTATGAAATATTCCGGTCATCCAGTCTGAGATTTTTAATTGTATTTGTGTAAAACTTAAAAGTTTAAAATCACAAGTATTTCCATTAGTCCTACTGTTTCATATCTGACCACCCTGATAAGCGCCTTAAGAGGGTCTCTCAGAGTCACGGGGTGGTCGATTTCTATGAATAGTTAACGTGTATTTATTATAAATTGAAATATTTAAGTAAGTGAGATATAAAGATACTCAGGTTTGTTGTGTGTGGGTTAAATGTTTTCTCTAAGACTGTGGGACTTTTTTCTTGATGTGTGAAGTGTATGTCGTGTACTTTGAGAAATCTGAATCAATGAAATAATAACGTGAATAAATGAAATGTTGTTAAGCGTATCTCTTTGTCCTTTCCAGAAAGTGACCCATGACATGGACATGTGCTACGGCATGATGGGAAGTCTGTTCCGCAGTGGATCCCGACAGACGCTGTTTGCCTCCCAGGTGATGCGCTACGCTGACCTGTATGCCGCCTCCTTCATCAACCTGCTGTACTACCCGTTCAGCTATCTGTTCAGAGCTGCACATGTGCTGGTGAGAGTCACTTCATTCTCTCACTCAGGGCAAACATTATGCAGCAGTCAGTTTTTTATGTATTCTGTACTTATATTGTTTCATCAACGCCACTATTTAAAAAAAACTCCTTCCACAGATGCCTCATGAGTCCACAGTGGAGCATACCCACGTCAACATCATCGACACAGAGTCGCCGCTTGCAACACGAAACCGCCATGACATGGACCTCAAGGAGATCGAGTGCAAACGACACCAGCTCACCCGATCCGTCAGCGAAATCCAACCCCCCCACTTCTTCCCCCAGGCTCCGCAGGAGATCACCCACTGCCATGACGAGGATGATGATGAGGAGGAGGAGGAGGAGGAGGAGGAGGAGGAAGAATAGATGTAGGTTGAAGGATCAGAGGAGGCTGCAGATGAGTCTTCCTCTCACAGTTCATCCTCTTCTCACATTTCAAGTTCATCTTTTTGTTTTAAGTATTAATAATACCTAACATGACTCTCATTGTTACAATTAAAAATACAGGTACACTGTACAACTGTAAAGTTAAAAAGGATTTAAATGATTGGACGGTTAAATTTAACAAGGCATGGAATTGCCACTCGCTGAGTCTTGTTTTGTTTGAATATTTAGTTTTTTCTGGGTTTGTTTGAGGAGGAACATCTCTGCTGCTGTGTGTATCATTCAGGTCATCAGGAGCCAGAGTTCAGTGTGCAATTTATTCATTTGCACTGTAAACATTTCACTGCCCTGCTGCTTAAAAACTAACATTATCCTTAGCTTAGCCTAGCTGATAAACCGCCCTTTAACTGCTAAGCCACATTAGTCAGATATTTTGCCTTTTTTTGGGAACATTCATTTTTTAGGTGTTATTTATTTCCACCTCTAAAGAGTTGTCGCTAACAGAAGAGACGTGAGGATGTAATGAGATACTTCTGCTTAGATATTTTATCAGAAGAAGCAATTCAAGCTGTTTGAAATATCCACACAAATACGTGATGTTGTGAAATGCAGTTTCTTTTACCCACAGTGGCCTCATGCAGAACGCACTGCTGCAACAAGACGAGATGTTTGAGTCATCTCGCCTCAGTTTGAGAAAGCAGCGAGCGCTCATCCCCATTGTTTAGGGTTTTAATGAAGACACCGCACATAAGGGTGGATTCATACTTGAAGAAAACATAACTTTAGTTTTTATATTGAATACAGCTGCTTAAAAATAGGATTTGGCCATGGTTCTACTGTAGATGATAACTTTCAGTTCAGCAGAGTTTACACGGCCTGCTGTGGTGAGCTGAAGTCATCAGGAAGTTGCTTCATCGTATCACATCCTGTTCACTTAAGAAACCAGCTTAGAGTAACATCACCTACTTATCAACCCCGTAAATCCTCTTGCAGTGTTCTAAAATGGGACCACATTTCCCATAAGTCATAGAATTTAAAATATTTTTGTTACCCTGAAGTCATTTTTTGTTGTTTTCTTCGGCTGTAAATGTTTTTAAAGTTACTTCAAGACAAATGTAGGTCTCATAAGCCAGCACAGTGTTCACAAAGAACGGTTACTCTTTGATTCATCTCACTTTGAGTTGTTACAGAGTTTGTTTTGATCATGAATGTCGACTTGTTTTAATCTGAAGAAAGATGCAGGATAATGTATGGAAGCCCATTTCTGCCAGGAATAACAAAGTTAAGAATGATTTCAATAACAACGCGAGGTTAAAATGATCACATTTACATGTCAGTGTTTCGGCTTAGTTAGATTTTAAAACAATGACATGTTTCCTTTTCAGATACATGATGAACACTTAATACAGTTAAATGTAGTCATTTTGTCTTGACTGTATTATCATGAAAATATGAAGCAAGCAAAGATCATTTTGACTCATTTTTTAATGTTTTAATAGATGTTTTTCAAAGTTCATTGATTATTTAAAATCAAACTTTTAGTTTTGTTGATTTTAAATATCCACGAGAATTACCATTATCGCCATTTAAAAGATGGTGAGTTTTTTATTTCTGGCACTAATGGTCTTCTGTACCGCGGTGACCTGCTGCTGTACTGACTGTAGAAACTGATCAGGGCTGTCCCCAGATCTGTCTGCTGTAAACATGCTGTTACTGTAATGTAAGAAGTGCTGTGCTGTCATTGAGTACAGTTGTGGGCCTCGCGCACTAAGGTCACATACTGTTGACATGACTGTTTATTTTACCGCTGACTCGGCTGTTTTTTTTGTCCATTTTTTCTATATTTATGTTACTACCTTGAGTTTAAGGACCTGAACAGGAGGACCTGTTTGCCTCAAATGTTTTATCTGAATTAATCATACAGAACTACATACTGAACCACAGAAGGCTGATCAAGCCTTTTCTTCTGACTGAGTGTGAGATTGTATTGTGTGATCACACAAGAAGTTTGCCATTTGAACTGTTAAAGCTGCCTCATCCTTGGAGTTTGTTTAAATGTCCCTCTGTCAGGGAGAGAGACCTTTGTCCACTCTGTTGCACCTTTGGATTCTTATCTTGTTATTTGAGTATGTGTGTGACTCTGTTGTAGAAACACATGTTACAGAGTGGCCCATGTTTCAGTGCACATATGATTTGTAATGGTTTCATATTCAGATCACTTGAGGGAACTGTTAAGCATGCTGATTTGAATTAGAGTGCTACTGATCGCTTGGAAGTTTGATTAGACTTCGCACGTTTTAAAGTGTTAAATAAAACAAATGAATGTTTTTACTTTTGATCTGCAGTAGTTAATGCATGTGTGTTTTTTTTTCTTTTGCTGTTTAATCTGAAATGTTGCCTTTTTTTGGAATGATGTTGAAAATCAGGGACGCTGCAGTTGAAACGGTTTGGGTTATGGGTTATGTTTGCAATACATTTTCTGATCTGACATCTGTGTGGTTTCTTTCTAGAATACGTTGACATTATTTTATCCTTTTACAATTATTGTAGTGGGTGTCTGCTTTTGATATTTGAGTGTTACCTGGAGTTCCTCCTCCTGCTTTTAATCAGCAGGTGTGTAGCATGTGATCAACTTTCCTAACCTTGTCATTTAAGGAGGGGTATTCTATCAGAAATGAGAATGCACACAGTTATGTTAACATCCACTGCTGCAAAGCATCTAACTACCAAATCCCAGCAGAGGGAGCTGAGGGTTTGAAAAAGTAAAATGCTGTGAGAAATTTACTTTAATAAAGAAAAACGTAATTTCTTCTGTTGAAGTAGAAATGATAACTAATGCATATTTTTTTTTATCTTAAACCAATTGAATTTAAGAACTGACGTACGTCGCTTTGGATAAAAGCGTCTGCTAAATGAATTGTAGAATTGTAAAATTACATTTTGGAGGGATCTAATCAGTGCTGTCCACCAAATTCATCCAAACACCAAATCGGTTATCAGAAGTACTAAATCAATCAATCGTCTGTATTTCCTTTCATTTGTCGCCAGTCTGCTGTTTCAGTTGTTGCTCTTTAAAAAATGTCTATGGCATGAACCTTTTCTTTAGGCGAAAATGTTTCATTTTTTAATGAGTCTTTAAACTTTAAGCAGAGCAAACTGCCGACTGGTCCTCTTATTTATACGAGTACCTTTGATTGGATATTCCAAAGAGAGTGAGTCTGTTGTCAAACCAGAATCCCAATGTAAGCAAGCCCAAAAAGATGTTTTCTCAACGGATGTCTCCAATAGTGAGATTTGATATTCTCAAATGTTAATGTGGTACTTAAGAATACATTTGAAAACCCTCAATGTTTTAATTTGGTTGTGGTAGATAAGACACTGAAAATAGAGTTCAAGAAGCAGACCAAATGGTTTGTTTTTACATTCATTTCAAATCTTCTTTATCTTACTGTAAAATCTTCAGAAATGACAGATCGACTCTCTCCCAGATTTGCATTCACCCCTGAAAACAAAGTGTTTGATGTTAATCTCTATGGTTTCCACAGGCACTCATTCTGTCAGCCAGCTGTATTGAAGGCCAGTGTGTCCCTTTCATGTATCCAGCCCTATGACACATCCTGAGTCAGCTCAACAGCAGCAAACTCTCAACATAGTGGTGTGAAACACGTGCAGCATCAGCTAACAAGACTCAGCAGTGTAGCCCCAGGGACGCTGTCAGGGTCAAGCAGCTGTTTGGCCTTCTGGCTGCTGATAAGTTTGTCCTATTTCACCTTAACACATGCCCGAGCTGATGATGTAGCCAATGACAGGCTCTCAGTTACACTTTCTCAACTTTATGGAGGAAGAAAAATGTAATTATTTCCACAACTTGTCATCTCATTTTAACATGTACAAGAAGGACTGTATAGAATAGGATAGGGACACTTGTAATCTTTCATTGTCATTTATTGATGTATCATTTAAATGCAAGTTAAACTATATTTGTAAGGAAGTACAATCGGATCAACTGGATGGAATCTTGCCAAACGCCACACACAAGGCTGAAATCATCAAATAAGGTGGTTTAACACTGAGTGCTCTAAGGTATTTACATGTTGTACTGCCAAGATCTGCTCCGTCCTTGAACCACAGGTGCTGTGGACTCTGTGTCCCTGCAAGAACTTTTCTCAATTCATCACCTCCAAAAGATTAAAGAAGAGGGACATACTGTATCGCCCTGATTTACAGTAGACTCAAGTTTAAAATGCCAACGATGGAATCCGGAAACAGACTTTTCCATGCATACATCCATGTACGTACTTCCACGACTGTTTTATTAACACATATTAGTATCTTTACCATCAAGGGTTCTGTGTAAGCCAATACAGATTATCTACTCCCATGCAAATTATATAATAAAAAAGTCAGGCATACAAAAGAAAGTTTACTTCTCACACAGTTTTGTACTATTCATTCGTTTTAGGGTGGCACTATGAGAAGCAAAGATGATGCAGACAATGTTTTTTTTTATATAAATAAATGGAAAACAATGTCAACATTATTTTACTAAACTCAAGAAGAAAAAACAAGTTTCAATGGTCCTTGCTTTGCAGAGCCAAGTATAGAAATCGCGCTGGCACCAAGCATAACGGCAGCGTCCCATTTTGCCGGCCAGCAGACTGATGTAAAAGCAGAACTTTGGCAGGTTTTCCTCGTGGTCCGACTTTAAACCCTAAAGATGCTCAAAGTCCAGCTAAGAAAGAGTTTGTAAACAGTTCACCCTCCTCCTAACGAGGGTTTGAGCTGCATGTTGCTCCGTCACTTCAACAAGTGTCTCAGCTGGTCCTGCAGGTTTTTAGAGTGCTCCACACTGCAGGAGAGAGAAGCAAGAGAACACACGAGAGTGAGAGCACGTCAGGAGTTTGTGTTGTGGCTTTCTGCTCAGACGATGATGTTTCTGTGAAATGTTAAACAGAGTGTCATGTTTAGACTTACTTCTTCTGGATGGCCTCCTGCCTTTGTGACAGACAGACAGACAGACACAGGGAGATAATCTGTTAATATGTTCATCTAGTTTTCAGATCTTTGTAAACAGCTGATTGATACTCACTGGTATTGTAAATGTGTGGTGATTATAGACATTTTCCTCAGGCTCTGGGAGAAGAAATGACAACACAAAATCAAGAGCAGCTCTCACAAGCTCGTGGAGCTCTTTCTTAATAAACACGTGTTGTCTCTGAGGCAACAGCTTGTGGTTCTGTTGTCATGGTGATCATGTTGACTGACTGTGTGTGGACACTTACGTCTTCAGAGTGCAGAATGGCGTCTTCCTGAATCACCATGTTTCTTGCAGCTTGACCAAGAAGCTGGAAGGGAGACATTTTGAGTAATACAGCATAAATGATTAAAAACATGTTTATTTCATGACCAGAGAATTCAACTAAGTCCAGATTTCCCAAGCAGCCACTTCCATGTTTTGGAAAACATGAATTAAAAGTAATGCTTTAAAAGTAATGCTGTTATATTTGATACCGTGCAGCATATGTGACGTCACTGTGCGTTAGCTAGCAGCTGCTATCGTTTAGTTCATTTCAAACACTCGCGTGGTTTTACCTCCTGACTACGGGATCCCTTCAACACTTGGCGTGTCATTGCGATCACATCCCCGCTACAGGAGCCCACCTTGTCGGATAACAAACCTTTAACCGACTGGCCGAACCGTGGTTGGGTCTCAGTTGAAGCCATCTTCTGTTGTGTTTTGGCTGGCTATGGTTCCCGTGCAGGACCAAAATACACAAAAACGCGTTTACTTAAAACGCGTGTAGGCTGCTTTAAGATGCAAAACTTGGAAAAAGTTAGCGCTCGAATTGTTTCCTCACATCATTTAAATAATATCTCAAGGTCAGCTTAAAGTAGATGTTTGTTATATATAAATCATATAACAAAAAGAAGTAGCCTGCATCAAATGAACTGAACAGAATGGCGTTACCAGAAAAATGTATTAAGACAATTTCCTTTTACAGTACAAAATAAAATAACAAATGACCTATGCTACTTTATGACAGCGAGCCTAAATGTCACAAATTCATTTAATAAAATAAAATAAAACAAAAGTTATCAGTTCATAGAAACCCAAAAGTGAAATGTTTAGCTTTCAGAACTCACTTATGCAACATTCATTCTTTAATCCATTTGTATTCAGGTAATTATCCTTTGTATTTTATATGCTTTTCTGCATGGAGATATTTTGAACTGAGTTATATTTTGTTGGTTGGGTTTGGTGATTAAAGCATGTCCTCTTGTTTGAGATTTGTTTACAAAATGTTCTTCGCTGCAGCTATGACATGATATGATAGACATGTAGCCAAGTTGAAAATGTCATCTCACAGTGTCTTTAATTCTCGAGAAAAGTACAAACCTAAAACTGTGCTTTGAAGCTTGTGTGAGAAACTTTTGTTAAGTGCCAATTTAGGCAACCCCTGTGAACAAAATGATAGTCGTACACGGTGTGTCCTTTACATGTGTAAGCAGGAAAAATCTCATCCTACTCTTTTTGAAGTCAAATTAATAACTGGTGACAATGTTAAAGGAAAAAGGCTGTTTCTGTGCTGTGAATCACTACATCTGGCATGTACCCTGTGGCACCAGTTTAAGGAGGTAATACTAACCATATAAATAATCAATCTAGTCTCCGATGGTCTTACAGTATGTGTTACTATAGGTTACAAAGAGACTGTTTTATGACCACTAAACACCCCTTACAGGAGCTTTAATACAGTAAAATACATAGATACTTTTCCATACTGGTTACATTCTGACAGCGGTCGTGTATGAATGTTTCATCATGGTGTTTGTTGGGATTCAATGAATCAAGTGTCTTCTTATCTTGTTGAAACTGGCTCAGCCTTACACAGTCAAGGATTTGGCATTGAAGGAGCTAAATAAAAGCATGGCCCTGCTGCTGCTCAGAAACCTGCTGCACTCCTTTTGTAATGCTTTGCGTCCACTGAGCCAGACCCCTCAGACAGGGCCCTCAGCTGCAGATATGGCTGTGTTTCTGTTACTGTGTGTGTTTTTTGCTGTGGGTCTGGCTTTGCTGGCACTGCAGTTGAAGCTTAGGATGTCTGTGCACGGCCCCCAGGAACCCCCTCGCCTTCCATCACTCCCATTGATCGGCAGTCTTCTGAGTTTGCGGAGCCCACATCCTCCTCACCTGCTTTTCAAAGAGCTACAACGGAAATATGGACAGACCTACTCTCTGATGATGGGCTCCCATTGTGTCATCATCGTCAACCACCACACACACGCCAAAGAAGTGTTGATGAAGAAAGGAAAGATATTTGCAGGAAGACCCAGAACCGTGGGTATACCTCTTATTCATTGTCTCTTTTTTTATTAGCATCATCAGTCTTTGAAATGTGTTCCCTCTCCAACCTTGTCCCGCATGATGAAGGTAACAACAGATGTTCTGACCAGAGATGGCAAGGACATTGCATTTGGAGATTACAGTACTACCTGGAGATTCCACAGGAAAATAGTACATGGAGCTCTGTGCATGTTTGGAGAGGGCTCTGCCGCCATCGAAAAGATAAGTGAGTATAGTTTACACTCCTCCAATATGTTTCCTCTGACATCATAAGATGGTAATTGTAAATGCTTTTTTGTTTGCGGCCCTGACACACGCTTAATCGAGACTGTTTTGACAAACACACTGAAGCATAAATGATGAATATTGGAAGTTCTGTTCTGGTTCAGCCATAACAACAAAAAAACAGACACTCTATCTTACATCTGAGATACATCCCCAAAGCTAATACATTTAGCTTTTTTGTATCCCTGGAATTCATAATACAAACACAGCCTGAGGAATAAATGTGTTTCTGTCAAAGAATTTTAAAAAACAATAACCCGAAGAGCTCCCTACAAAGAGTTTTCCTTTAAACCTTAAAATCTTCCAGATGTAAACTGTTAATGTTTGATTACCAAGCCTTTAACATTTGGCAGTGTTTGCTTTTTTCAAAATATGGATAGACCATAAAGTTATTTCACTACTGTGTTCAGTCCTTCAGGAAGGTCAGATGGATTTTTATAAATGTGCACAACTGAAGCATCTGCAGCTATTCAACAGAAACAATCGAAATTCATGTTGGGGTTTCAACAAATGAGTGATTGTACTATTCATTATTGTGCTTATTAGTTTTTCAATACATCATTCTTGATACTTGATTCATAAGATTTCAGTAAAAGGGAGCCGGCCCTTCACAGCACATCACAATGAGATATTAAAAGAGCTTCTTTTGCCTCCAGAGTAACCTGGAGTAACTTCCTGACAATCTATGATGTAGGTTGGTATATGTGTCAAATAATTAACAGTATGTGTGTTCATGATAATGAAGGATCAAGTCATTATTGTATGTGTACAACATTGAAGAAATACAGCCCAGAGAAATAAGATGTGTCAGGCTTTAAAACAGGCAAAATAAACAGTTTAAATAAGTGAATAGTTAAGTAAGATTTTCAGAGGCTACGTTTTAAAAGTATGTGTATAAGTTAAGATTGTCTGTCTCCCTTGTCCTGTTCAGTCACTGCAGAGGCTCAGTCTCTGTGTGCAATCCTGTCTGAGGCAGCAGCAGCTAGACTGGCCCTGGATCTGTCTCCTGAGCTGACAAGGGCCGTCACCAATGTCATCTGTGCTCTCTGCTTTAACTCGTCCTACCGCCGAGGAGACCCAGAGTTTGAGGCCATGCTGAGCTACAGCCAGGGCATCGTGGATACAGTAGCAAAGGACAGTCTGGTGGACATCTTCCCCTGGTTACAGGTAGGCCAGATGAATCCATATGTGTGCATATACAACACTGTTTTCACAAACATCAAATCGTGACGCCTCTCTGTTTTGTACAGATTTTTCCCAATGCTGATCTGCATCTTCTCAAGAAATGTGTTGCCATCAGAGACCAACTTCTACAGAAGCAATATGATAAACACAAGGTACAGCTGACATTTAGCTATTAATAGTCCTATTATGTCTCTATGAGATACAAATGTATGTATGTGCCCACGCGATTCAATTCAAATAGAAAGAAATGTTTTTTTAACCAAATTATGGGAATATATAGACCTTGCATGCCTGCGAAAAATCGCATATAAAGCCTTTAACTGGCACGTGTTTGATTGATACACATAGTGCAGTTTTTCTGTCACCTAAGTTAGACCAAAACGTTAGGTTAGTTTTGTCTTCACAATGAAATCACATTAAACTGTAGCTTTTAGGGAACTTTTGGGAGATTTCTGCAATGTTTTTTACCTGAATAGGTTCTTTGTTGATGTGCAGGTTTTGAAAAACACACACACACATCCAAAAACTTTTTGAGCTTCCAGGCAGTGGTGTAGCGGTGCCTAAAGAAGTGGTTAAACTCTCTTTTCTTATGTGGCCCATCCAGCAGAGGATAATCTGCCCCTATTATAAACAGTTACATGCAAGACTCCTTTTGAATATTTAGTTATTGCATGTGAGCCAATTAGGGGCCGAGTAGGGAGAGTCATCCCTTCACCATCCTAGGAAAACAATTGTAGCATGCAACGGATATTGTTATTCAGTCAGTGGTTTGAATCCGAGGGTATTTAGAAGCCGGTGTACCCTATGGAGACTGAAAAATATGTGGGTATACCCCGTATACCTGCGTATAGCCTGCACTGCACCACTGCTTACAAAGAAAAAGAAGGACCGAAAGGACAATGGGGTGAATGTCAACCAAACTCCAATCTTGGACATCTATCTTGCATCAAATGGCAGTATATCCATTATTTTCATTTGAAAACATGGGATATGTAACATGTGATTTTACATACAAGGACAGTATTGGTCGTCATGATGATGACATAGTCAGCCAAACTGTCTCAAAATACTAATGTTTTAGCTTTCTATGGGCTTGCAATAATGGAATAAAGATATAATGTAGTCACTGTGGAAGTCATTTAAATTTGCTCTATAGATGGTTAAATGCAAACCATTGTGACCCCCTCTCAGGTGGATTACAGTGACTCTGTGCAGAGGGACCTGATGGATGCTCTGCTGAGAGCCAAGCGCAGTGCTGAGAACAACAACACAGTAGAGCTCGGGGCAGACTCTGTGGGTCTCAGTGACGATCACCTCCTCATGACTGTGGGAGACATCTTCGGAGCCGGCGTGGAAACCACCAGCACCGTGCTCAAATGGGCCATAACTTACCTCATCCATCATCCACAGGTAAAGCTGGAGGTGGAGGAGTTGCCTTGGTTGTAAAATATTTATACTAAAATGTCAATTTAAAAGCCTGCATTGTCTGTATGGATGATTGGCTGTTTTGACAGTATCTGTCTATGTATTCATATCATTACTAAACTTTCACACCTTTGACAGTTTTCAACTTTACTTCGCTGTCTGTTGGAAGCTCAAGAAGTTTGGTTTTGGTTATGTTCAACGATGAATTCTATATTTTCCCCTATTTTTGTCATTCCAAACGTGTGCTGTAGGGAAGCCTATCTAACATTTAGCTACAGTTTCTCAATTGGCCACTAGAGGCTACTCTGACTCCATTGAGATGTATTTAAAACTGCATCGACAGATGAAAGTTATTTCCTAAATGTTTTAGTTATAGGTTTAGGAAATATGCTTCCCTCCCAGTCAGCTTGATTGGCAGTTATCTCATTAGCTTGGACTGTCTTCTATAATTGCCACATCATTTGTTTTTTAAATCCATGAAATGATGGACATACTGCATGTTTATAACTGAGATTTAAAACCGTCTCTTCTGAAACCTGTTTAGGATGTTGCATCTACAGCATCACCAGCAAGTTTCAGAGGACATGTGTTTGTTTTTTGCTTTTGTTTTTTGGGGGGTGGGGGCTTTTATTGACTTTATTTAGAGATAGGACAGTGGATAGAGTCAGACATCGGGGGGAGAAAGAGAGCGGGGGCATGCAAGAAAGGAGCCACAGGTCAGATCCAAACCCAAGCTGCTGGAGGACTATAGTGTCTGTACATGGGGCGCTCGCACTAACCACTAGGCTACTGGCACCCCGAGAGGAAGTACCATTGTGTTAATATATCTCTTATACTACAGTTTACCAGTAAGTAAGAAGAAGTTAGTTAGTTGAAGTAACTGCCTTGTCTATATCTTTAAATGTATAAACTATTTTCATATCCAAGGACTGAATAAGGGGTTCATTAAACCATTTTTTTTTTTAAATCTAATATAAAAGACAAAAAAACAACAACATGTAGCCTAAATGTATTTTTCTTATGGACATTTGTCATTGTGGTTGTGTGTGTGTGTGTGTGTGTTTAGGTTCAAAGACATATCCAGGAGGAGCTGGACAGTAAAGTGGGCGGAGACAGGTCCCCCCAGCTCAGTGACAGAGGCAGTCTGCCTTACCTGGAGGCCACCATCAGAGAGGTGTTAAGGATCCGCCCTGTGGCCCCTCTGCTTATCCCCCACATGGCCCTCAGTGACAGCAGGTACACTCAGCACTACCTTGACATTTAAGGCCATTCACTGTCGTTCATGTCTCACATGATGAAAAGAAAACAGCAATCAATACAATATACCTAGTATGAGACAAACTGGATCGTTCCTGAAGAATTTGCTGATGATCATTTCCTGCACAGAAAAATAACAAACATTAAATGTAAAGGGAAACTGTCTTATAAACTTCCTCTTGCTTTCCCTTGGGCTTTTTTGTAGCATCGGGGACTTCACAGTGAGGAAGGGAACTCGAGTCATCATCAACCTGTGGTCTTTGCATCATGATGAGAAGGAATGGAAGAACCCTGAGCTCTTTGACCCTGGTGAGAGGAAGCTTGCAATATTTCATGCTGAAAAGGTTGCACCATTGAAAGTGTCTGTTAAAAAAAGGCTAAATGTTGACTTTGACAGTTCAATGAAGTCATTTATTTACAGATCTTGTGAAAAAAAAAAAAAGTTACTGTTATCGAGGAGATAAGGGGGAAATGGTAAATAGACTTGAGCGTGTATAGCACTTTTCTAGTCTTCTGACTACTCAACGCGCTTTTTACACCACAGGTCCCACCTTCCCATTCACACACTGATGGTAGAGGCTGCAATGTAAAGTGGACATCAGTATTAACTCATCCTTTCATATACAAAATATTAAATTAAACTCCCTCAGAAACACTTTGTCATCGTCTCTAATTATGTTTCCTGTTTTTAGTTTTCTTGATGTAAACGTTCATTAAAGGCTAAATTATCTATTTTGTGCTGCAAGGTTGCAAAAGTGTTTTACAGAGAGCAGCTGCTACCTTGTTGTCAAGAAAAAAAAAACATACACACTTATTCTCCTTGTGTTTGATTCTGATTCTCTGTTTTATCCTCTGCAGGTCGGTTCTTGAACAGTGAAGGCACAGGCCTGATCATCCCGTCAGCCAGCTACCTGCCATTTGGTGCTGGGGTTAGGGTGTGTCTGGGAGAGGCTTTGGCTAAGATGGAGCTCTTTCTCTTTCTGTCCTGCATCTTACAACGCTTCACCCTCTCTGTCCCATCGGGCCAACCCCTGCCCAGTTTAGAGGGCAAGTTCGGTGTGGTCCTCCAGCCTGCCAAGTACAACGTGAACGCCACACCCAGACCAGGATGGGAGAGAATCAAGTGCCAGCCATGTTGAAATGGCCCCATGTTCCTAACAGCTTTGCAACTGAGGTTCGACTGAAGAGTGTACTGGGCTTTTTTTTCTCAGCCAAATTCACATCATGCGATATGATGGAGCATGGAGCACTGGACCAGGAATATCATAGCATCGTTTTGTGCACAGGACATTATTACCTGATATTGTATTGAAATCTCACCCAGAGCGCACGCTGCCATAAAATAGAGAAGAAAAAAACAGATATTTAGAGAGCAGCAGTGAGACATCGACATGTATACAACAGGAAAAACTGTATTATTTGAATTGTATTTATTACCATTGTTTTGTGATCAGAGCATTTTTGGATCAGAGCATTTAATTGTGTGCAAACAGGGAGTTTTGCCGAATCTAAAAAGCTGGTAATCAATGTTGTTTCACCCACAATACAAAATAAATCAAGGGGGGCTTAAATGTAACTATTCTAAAGACATGTGTATAACATGTCTTTATTCTACCCGACTGAAAGCCTCCCTTATAAAGTTTCCAACAGACTTTTTATTCTCAAATTCTTCTTATGCCTTTGTAGGCTCCTGTTAATCATCAAGCTTTTTGTGAACAAAAATCTTATTTCAATGACAATTATTTAAATTATAATCAACAGAGATTTTGTTAATGGCAACTTTGCAAAAACAATAAATAGAAAATACAGAACTATAACATGGCATCTTACTGCATTTCATTACAAAAAGAAAACTGTTCTTTGTATTAGTAGAAGTTTATTATGTCTGAACGACTTTACATTTAGCTGTTTAGTCCAGTGATTACTAACGCTTAAAGCAACATGAACTAGATTAATACAGAGATGGTTAGTTCTGCTGCAGAATGGGTTTTTTATGTGAAATTGAACTTCAGCATGACTGCTAACTCCTCAACCACTGAATCATGACAAAAGGCCATTACCAGACACTGTTTATTGTAATGGTTTGCAAAATTACAATAGTTGGATTATTAACAATGCATTTGATGAGTTCATTCTATTTATAGTTTTGTAAAATGATGGAATTTATGTAGAATGACAGTAATTGTAACTATCTATGATTAATACCCTTTTTCAATGATAAATCTTAGTGAAGTTGTGTCACTTTTCATGAAGAGCAGCTCTAAAACAAGAAAAATAAGCCTAACATCGAATATCAAAATATATAAAGATGGCTTCAAAAATGCTTACAAACCAAGATGGAGGGGAGATGAAAATTAAAAAAATAAATAAAATTAGTTACCTACACAGTGAAATTGTTCCCATAGCCTAGCTTACTACAAAGAAGGGAGCCTTTCTGCTGTTTCATTTCATTGGCGGGGAGAGTAGGAAGCTACCCACTTCAAGTGTGTGCTTGAACAAACCCGCTCCAGCCCTGAAACGCAGTTTCAAGTGTTTCTGCGCCTTCAATGAACGCCGATCACCATTCATACACCTGTTTTGTTGGGGTATGCTGATTGACACACAGAGTCCGCCCCCTGCACTTGTCCTATTATTGTAATTGGCTCGGCACTGATGTCTATGGAAATTCCCCCGCGCGACCCTTGGCTCACACCTGACCGTCGCGAGGCTGCGTGCAGGCGGACACACCGTGAACTCAGCACGGTCCCTCAGCGACAGCTGCTTCCGTTAACGGCGGCTCAAGTCCACTGTCACTCTATACTAAGTCCAGAAGAGGCGACAACATGCCGCGGTCTTTCCTGGTGAAGAAACATCAGAGCAGTAAAATACCAAACTATGGAAGACTGAGCTCAAAGGCAGAGGGTAAGACTCCACTGACCTCATCATAACATAGAGAAATATATTTGAAAAGAAGAAAAAAATGACCTTTACTGTTAAATTGGTCAGAGGGGTAAAGTAAAGAAAAGTGGTCCTTTGCCACTCACTTAGCTTGAGTAGCCGATTATTATTATTTTGATCAAATAGAAATGTGCTGGTAAGTTACTTGACTTATCTGAGGGAAGTTACTGCAGCCCTACAGCTTTGAGTTACCTTAACTTATATAGACACTTCTGTAGAATGCACATACTTTTTCTCTGTCTTCTGTCTTCTTTGAAAAATGTATACATCATTAAAAAACAATCAAAGTTTCAGAATTATTCATTTAGTTTTGATATGACTTAAAAAAAATTAGAATCAACTTTCCTTAAAGTACATGTTTGTACCTTAACTTAACTTATGTTATGTTCAATAATTCATAATCTTTTGAACTTTTTGTTCATACAAATTGAAAACAAATGTGCCTTTACCAAATGTTTGAGGTGAGAAGTTAAAGACAATGGGGGAAGAAATGTCTCATTTACATATAATGTAGATAAGAAATGTCTCAGTTCTACAACCAGATATATCCTGTTTGAATTGTGAAGAGACCTTTTTTTGTATTTTTCACTTGCAAAAGCTATATTTGTTGAAGTAATTCTCCACTTTTCATTAATAAAAGTGAATAATAAGGCTATAATTTTTCTTTATTGAGTTTCACATGTTAATCATCCCTTGCCTCTCATTGGTTCAGCTAAGGTAAAGTGAACACCACAGCCCAGGTGTTGTCTGTTTTATATAGCCCTGAGGTATATCTAGAAATATGATGTTTTTTTCAATGATTAAGTCACTATTATCTATTGAAAAAAAATCCTATATTACTGTTAGATTTATATATTTGATGTACCTTGGTAGGTTTTTTTTAGGACTTCAAATATTAAAGTATTCATAAAATGATAAGACTACATCTTTAAACCAGAACTACCTTTCAGAGCTCATAGATCTGTTTATATTCACAGTTATTGAAGGAAAATAGCATTATAAAGCAAAAGGAGTTTAGTCGGACCACAAACAAAAATGTGGTTTTGTGTTTAGCAGGTGCAAAATCCGTCCCTAAAGAGTTACAGCATTGTCCCAGGGTCCTTGAGAGACCAGAAGGGCCCCATTAAACAGCCTTAAGAGGCTATGTAGCGGCCTTCCAGGCTCCTCCTGACAAATCCCTCCTTCGACCTTTGTATTTGTTCCAATACAGCCCTTAAAGCGAGCTTGAGCCTTCCACCCTCCCCACCCCACTATATTGATGAACTTCCATTACCATCAGAATGGGACCATGAAAGGAGAGATGGTAATAAGACTGAGTTATATTCAAGTTCTAGAAAAACATACAGTGATGTAATGTGTAAAACTTGGCCGAACTGATTTACTTAGTTTGCTAGAAAGGACCGCAGATGGTGATGACCTGTACATTTTGAAAGAGTTTGTCACATTCAGAGTATTCATGTTAGTGTTTTTGTGTGTGGATGAAATCTTCTTTTCTAACCTCATACTTACATTTAAAAAAGACTTTAAATTTAGGATGTTGTGAGAAATGATTGGGGCTTTGTGTCCTCCAAACTTGCTTTTAAATCTGATGTTTTCATCTCAAGGTGTCTTCCATCTGACTGAGAATCGCCATAAAAGCAAATAAGGATTCTTACATTTTTCAAAAAGGACATAGACCTCATCACTTACATTAACAATGTGAGAAGAAATGTCATAAATTGTTGCTGTTTTTTTGAGAATTGATGTGTGGATGCTTTGACAAAGGAAGGTGGTCTTTCTGATGTTTTGACACACCAGACACATGTGGTGTGTATTTGTCTTGTCTAATATATCCATGTGAATTTAAAATACAAAGTCTCGATCATGCAAAGGAAAATGTTTAAACCCAACAGAGAATAATAATCAGTACAATAATGAACATATAACCTCCTCTCTGCGTTATTTATTGAATTACAGCTTGTTGTGTCCGGCCCGCAGTTTTTAATGCTTTGGTTCACTTCCAGACATAAAATAGCAACCATCTACTACTGCAAAAGTTAGTACAAAGTAAAGGCTGTATGAAACAATAGACACTACATGCTCAGAAGCAAACAGCAAAAATACAAAGTAAGAGAACTTCAGTGATCACAGTGGCACATGAGGTAGTTTAAGAGAATGATCTTTCCTCACTAGACCGAAAACAGAGCCAAAAGGGGAGAGACTATTGGACCAGCCTTCATCAGGTTTCCACATACCCAATCCCGTGTGACACATTATGATGCTAGATGTGTAAATAAGAAACTGTTCTGATGAAAACATGTTGATGTGTTTTTTTGTTATCATAGGGGCCACCCGAGACACACACAAAGACCCCCCACAGCACAAGTACATCCCTGCACAGCATTATTATCCAGCCATGAGCCCTTGCCCACAGCAGATATCCCAGTCTCTCTCCTCCTCTCCTCTTCCTCTAAGAAAAGAACGATTGCATCCTCCATCCTCGTCAAACACCTTCCCCCTCTCACTTTTAGGATACTCTTCAGAGGCTAATAGGAGAAGCCCAACAGAAGCCTGTGAATCAGCCGTTGAACCCTGTTCCAAAGTGAACCTGGAAATCCAGCATGTCACAGGAGACTACAGGAGGAGAGAGAGCATCCTCCCTTCGTCCCTCCCTCTTCTGGCCCTATTTCCAGTTGTCCTTCCCGGCAGCAGCAGCAGCCAGGAGAACTTTGAGTGTTTGGACTGTCATGAAGGGCACTTGAGCTATTCGGGCCTGGCCAAACACAAGCAGCTTCAGTGTGATTGGAGCAGTAAGAAGTCCTTCAGCTGTAAATATTGTGAGAAGGAGTACGTCAGCCTCGGAGCACTCAAAATGCACATCAGGACACACACACTGCCCTGTGTGTGTAAACTCTGTGGCAAGGCATTCTCCAGACCCTGGCTGCTTCAGGGACATATACGAACACACACAGGCAAGTAAAGCACACATTTAACATCTTGTCATTGAACAACACATTTGATATGAACAGTGTGAGCTCAAAACAATACAGTTTAGGACAACCTGCATGTAGACAATCAAAGATTGCCTTTAGACAATCGCCTTTGCAGTCACAACAACCAAATAACAACAACACAACCAAACAAAAGGACAAAACTAAACATACAGCACCAGGCAAATGGCACAGAGGACAACAACAACCAGAATGTTTCCAGACGACTTAAATGTGAAGGGAATAAATGTGGGAGCCTGCACGCTAACTGTTGCCTTAGTTTGTGACCGGTGAAGTTATTGAAGCCACCTTTCCGTTAGTTGTTTCAGGTTATTTGAGAAGGCAGCCTGATGAGCAGAAAGGCTAAGGACTGGTAAAAAACCATATCTCTGCTAGCTTAATCAGTGGTTGTTTGTACCTCTTGCTATCTGTTTGTCATGTGTTCCTGTGTTGTCTCTTTTTGTTATGTTGTGGTACTTGGTAAAAATGTAAACCTTAAGCAGCAGGTTTTCTTCATTCCTGTTATGTGTTGACAAATTGGCACAGGTCTTTTCTAAGTTTGCGTCTTTTTTGTCTTTTCATAAATTGTAGTTAACTGCTATCCCTTTTCATCTGTACTTATTTCTGTGCTTTGGCTCATACAACACCGCCTGATTTGCGAGTCCCATTTTAAAGCCTCTTGTTTGACATTTTTACCATTTTTATGTTGATTAGGGAAATACAAGTGTCCATATGTGGATATGCATTAATACATCTCTGTCATGGTGGACAGGTAGTAATAGTGCCTTGTCTATCACAGGTACTTGTCGTTAAGAATACTGTTCTTTGTGCGGTGGTTGTGGCTCAGACGTTGTCACTGTTACGTCAGCAGCCTGTGAATGAGTATGAATGGATAAGTTAATACTGATGGACACTTTACATAGCAGCCTCTGCCATCAGTGTGACTGTGTGTGAATAGGTGTGACCTGCGGTGGAAAAAGCACTTTGAGAAGTCAGAAAAGAACTCTACAAGACAAGAAAAGAATTATTCAAGCTCAAGTCCATTTACCTTTTTTTTTGTTGATTTGACTCTAAAAGGGACTTTTAGATGTATTGAAGAGTACTTGAAACTATCTATTGACACCATAAAGTCACTAAGAAAAGGTTTACTAAGATGATAAGTCATTTACAAATCTGGCTTTATAAATTCAGACTTAACCAGTGGAGTCCCCCCCTACTGACCAGTGGAAGAAATGCAGGTTTAAGCATCATCTGCATTGTCTACATTATTTTCTTATATACAGTAAATTAAGGCTTATCATATCTTATTTAAGGGTTTCCTCACTGTATTTGACAGCAAGCATAAGTATGTATAAGTTGTAAGTTGATAATTTATGTTGAGTATTACTCATTCCATGCAAAAAGTAAACAGGAACTTATAACGCCTGACATTAAACTGACAAGACATCTGTGTGTTCTTTCTGCAGGAGAGAAACCATTCTCATGCTTCCACTGCAGCCGAGCTTTTGCTGACCGATCCAACCTGCGAGCTCATCTCCAAACCCACTCTGAAGTGAAAAAGTACCAGTGTACCAGCTGCTTTAAGACCTTCTCCAGGATCTCACTGTTAGCCAAGCACAAAGAGGCGGGCTGCTCACTGTCCTGACATCCTGTGAACTTCAGCCTGGCCGGAAAATGTCTTCAGATGAGTCTCTCTTTTGGTATATTTTGGTATATTGGTGTATTTTGGTACCGTCTCAAAAGATCACTAAAATATTTCGTAACTTGGTATGTGGTTGGCTTATCCCCATGCCTGATTAATGGAACAGCTAGTTCATGGGATGACATATGAAAGCGATTTCACAAAGGCACTTGAAATTGTAGCCATGGAATCGTAAGAAGTCTGTTAAAACACACAATTCATTACATTCATAATACATTCCCACTGAGCTAAAGCTACTGTATACATAAAGTAGACTACTCACCAGTAAACAACGGAAAGGCATACTTTTTTTTCGTTCAAAATTTTAATCAGCTTGATTAACTGTTGAGCAGAAATGCTAACTAAATGATGGTACAAGCTTCCTATCTGTGATGTTTACATAACTTTTCACTGAGAATATATGAGTTTTGGACAGTTAAATGAGCAATATATTTGGTCATGTTGCCTTGAGCTCTCTAAGAGATTATAGAAAAATGTGATCTTTTGTACATTAGATTCTGGTTGGAACTAGTAGTGCAGTAGTTAGTGCAGCTGTCATACAGTAAGGAGGTGCCCAGTTTGAACCCTGGCTGGATCACACTTATAACACAAGTCTCATAAAAGTCCCTCATTTTGTCTCTGTATTGCTACAAAGGGACCCTTGGGAGAAATAAATCAGACAAATGATCACTGAATGAGTCAAAAATGAGATGTTCAATGTAGTCTCACAAGATCAGGATGAGCAACAAATAAGCCAAAGATTGCATCTTATGGGCTCAATGTTTATTTCTTAGGTAGTTTGCTGCTTCCTGTTTGGTTCTGGAGCCAGCACATAGTCCGGTTGTTGATAATGTTTACATCTTTGTTTGAGCCAAACTTAGAGTTTCAATAATGTTTTACATGTTTGAATTTATTGGAACATCAAGTCAAGAAAAGTAGTTTTCTGACCTCCTGACATCAGACAACGGAGATGACTGGAGCACATCTCATACTGAGCAGAAGGCATTTTACTCCCACATTATAACATTTCCCTGACAGTGTCATCCCTTGAAACATTTCTTAGTAGTATATGTGTATTTAATGTTTACAATGTTGCACAAAACTACAGCTGAGTCAACAACAATCACAGAAATCCATGCCTACAGTTTATAGCACTAACCAATGAAATGACAAATATGTAAAGCCTCAACAAAGCAAATTCTAGTGGACATATTTAGAAAAGCACACCCACAAAAGAAACCCACAGAAAGATTAACATTATCTCACTAGAGAGAGTGAAAAAGACACTTGATACTCACATGTGACATACAAAATGAATAAAGGTCATCCAAAGATAAAATGTGTTTCATTTATGTCAAAGGGCCAAACAAGTTACATCTATTCAAAAGACTTCAGGCATTTCATAGGCAGGTTTGTTATATTAAGACAGCATTGCATAACATTGAGACAATTACTTAGATGTATCGGTTTTGTTTGTAGCTTACATAAAATAGTTTTTTTGTTTGAAATCATCTTTAATTGTGTGAGTTAAATAACGTCATGCTTTGATAAAAGCTAGATTGTTTTGTTATTTTGTATTAAAAATGCTCTTGCTATAAAACTGCTCTTTTATTTTACTTGTTTCATTGTGTAACAGTGTGATGATATGAAGAAACAAATGAAAATCTTTGTGTTTCACCGGACAGAGAGGATGTCATCTTTGACATAGAAATCCAAAATGTATTTCACTGTAAACAAAGGTTACCTTACATGAATTCTCACAACCCTCCATATTTGTGTCTAAGTTAGAATGGACAGGCAGAGTTAGTGAAAAGTACTAGGTTTCTAGAAACCAGCATCACAGACGTTGACATCACAAGTTTACAATCAAATGAATAAACCTTAAAGACAACATGAGGGCAATTTAAATATTACAGAGGGGAAGCATTTTGACAGGAAACATGGCAAATGGGCTTGAGCTTGTATAGCGCATTTTTCTGCGTAAACTAGCATGGAATATGCTGGACTGGTGATTAAAACTCCAAAGTTAATCACTGTAAACCCTTTAATAAGCATCAGTGAGGAGGCCTAGAGGATACTTAAAGACCAGCTTCAGCAACAGCCTGTTTACCCTGCAGTCTTTTGTTCTGGTGATCACAGACAGGTGATAACTCATTCTGGAGTAAATGCAGTATTTTTTCAATAGACTCGTGACAAGATGCTCAGAAAGATTTACTCGTCAGAAGGTGGCCCCATGAACATACAGCCTTGGGGAATCCCAAAATCTATACTTAAATTAGACTCAATATTGAGACGGTAATCCAATGATTATTTACCAGCATATGAAACCGGTAAAAACTGCAGGCTCTTTGGAAGACGAGAGTGTAAAGTTTATTAAAAATGATGATCCAAGTTTTTCCATCAGCAGCAAACATACTTGACGAGGTGTCACAAGGCTGCAAACACTTGGCCTGCCCTGCACCTGTAGTATGAGTCTGAGCACCTGTTGTTTATCCACCAGAATGGCTCTGTTGTGATGTAATGGAATGCTATGAATAGTAACTGTCTGTGGAACAAGGTCTAAATATTCCCTACCAATGAGCCAGGTTCATTTTCAATACATACAGATACTATTCTGACTCTCCGCAGGCCTATAAATACATGGAAAGCTGTTATATTAGGCATGAGGGCAGCTCTCCATCTTACTGTGTGTCAGTAATACAAGACAGCAATGACCAATTTAGCTGCTGTCAAGACATGGAGCCTATTTTAGACCTCAATATTAGGCCAACAGATACTGTAAAACGTGTGTGCATGTGTTTGTGGGTGTGTGTATTTGTGTGTATATGATCGCTCGGGAACTAATAGACACATTGACAATCAGATTATGCTGGTATTTTCCACAGGGAGTGTGTGAGTGTTTCCATAAAGTGCCCAATCACAGGCCTCTGATGCCCTGCAAATGACACCGGATTACACTTGTTACCAAGACGTCTGCTGATGTGTGGCATAGGATGAGGACTTCTATGTTTGCTGAGAAAATGCTGAGGTGTGTGGGATGTAGGAGAGTAGAGGGAACATCAACAGTTGTTTTCGTTTGTGACTTATGCATGGATGGCTATTAAAATGACAGTTCAACATTGTCCTCTGTAAAAATATTATCCTGATATTCCAATCTTCCAGGCTTATTTACATTTTATCAACTAGCCATTAATTACCTTGCAATTAATAGGAAGGGATGCAAATCAACAAGGCAGTGTAACCCTGCGTCTTACGATATATGTTAACATAAACAGCTTTGCCTGAGTTAGTGCGACACAATGACCTGCTCAAAGATAGATAGATAGATAGATAGATAGATAGATAGATAGATAGATAGACAGATAGATAGATAGATAGATAGATAGATAGATAGATAGCTACTTTATTGATCCCGAGGGAAATTCTCGGCTAAAGACTTGACCTAAAGACTTTTAGGTCAAAGATATTGATGTTGTATGGCATGTCATCTGGTATTTTTTCAATATTAAACCCCAGATGACAGTCTTTGCCTAAACTTTAAGCAAGTGCTTTGCGTTGTATAATCATTAATATATAATTAAACTTGCTTGAGTTTTCCTGTGAGGAGCATCGATGAGCCAATGCACAGATGCTTTCATCCTAAAAATGTGTACTCCTCAATATACCGTGAAAATAAATATAAAGAAAAACATCATATTGGAGGTTCATTGGAGTGACTTGTGAACCATAGAAAAACACTTGTTAGTCACAAACTTGAATACGCAGTCAGTTTGGAGTTAGAATACATAAGAATAATACTTTTCAGCCCTCTGGGATAACACACAAAGTATGAGTAATTATCTATAATTAACATTAGTCCTCCCTTTTACATCATCATCATTACAGTTGCTAATGTCAATACTAGACTGGGCAGTCAATTGTCAATCCTGTTACTGCTAGTAGTGCACATACTTTAGACTTTTTACCATTATTACTGACATTGTTGCTATAAATCCATCGTATTCATTGTTGTGGCCGTTGTTCTGTTTTTCTCTATCCTTCTTTTTCTTTCTGCATCTCCTTCTATCCATCTTTCCAAGCCCAACAGTTTCGGCAGGTGGCTGTTCAACAAGAGTCTGGCTCTGTTCGATGTTTCTGCCTGTGAAAAGGGAGTTTTTCCTTACCAATGTGACTTTCCTAAATGTTGCCTAGTGCTCGTGGTGGATCATTGTTGGGTCTTTGATAATATAACAAAGAGTAAGGTCTTTTACCTGCTCTTCTGTAAGGTGTCTTGAGATAACCTTGCTATGAATAACTCATAATTTGACATTGAAAGCAGCAGTGCCATGATAACAGGGGTGGCTCTGGCTCAGTTGGTAGAGTCTGTCGTCTCTCAGTCGGATGGTTTGGGGTTCGACTCCAAGCTCCTGCAGCCACAAGTCCGATGTGTCCTTGGGAAAGACACTTAACATATGAATGTGTATGACTGTGTATGAATGGCATTAGAAAAGCGCTGTACTAGCTGAAGACCATTTCCCATTTCCGTAAGTGTGTGAGGTCACGTTGATAAAGTTAACAAAATGTAAGAGTTGATTGGAATGTAGTGATTAAAGGGGCATGGGGGTGTTGTGGTGGAGATGGACAGGAGAGATGTAGCTGGATATATCTGTGCACTCAGTGAAATAGCTGCTCAGGGAGGTGCTAACATTTCCAGCTATGCCAAACCAAGCCATCACACCCCCGCCTCTTTTTCCACCACAAATGGATGAGTGTGTATGTGTGTGTGTGTGTGTGTGTGATTGCTGTTCTCGCCTCGTGTAGGTACTGGGAACCACTTACTCAGTTTGGTTAATCTATTAAAGGGTATCCCAAATTCAAAGAAAACATATCTTTTAAAGTTCTTTTTGGGTGCTATCATACTATGGAAAACAGTAAATAGACTTCACACCACATTTACACAATGATGCCAAAGGCTGCTATTAACTAATCCCATTCATGCACATTCACACACCGCTGGCTATAAGTCACTCGTGAGCAATTTGAGATTCAGTGTCTTGCCCAAGGACACTTCAACATGTGGCTGCAGGAGCTGGGGATCAAACCTTCCAGTCGAGAGATGACAGACCACTGAGCAACAGCCTGAAAAAGCTGTATTAGTTTTTCTTCAGCTACAAATATCTTGTCTTATTCATAGGCTCCTCCCCTGGTCCTTAACGGACTCCCCTGGAAGTCTTTCTTTTTACCTTGGTGTGTTCAACTTAACATGTACTTTTGTCTTCTATGTTTCTGTTTTTGTCTTCTACTCTGACTTCAACTGGGAAAGTTGTGTGCCAAAGTTTTATTTCCTGGACTCCATGGACTCCGATTCTTTCCCTTTGGCTTTATTTATCACGGTTTGTAGAGCATCAACTTGGCAAGCAACACTTTTTACAGAACCATTGGATACAATTGTTGAGGGGAACACTCTAAGTGTATTATCTTACATTTTCATTTGCTCTGCATTGAATTAAAGTATATTCAGTTTTGAGGATGGTGATGATGTCTTTGTGATAAACCACGTTCTTACAACACACACAAAAGAACAACACAAATACATTATATTCCGTGTTTTTCTTTTTATTTAGGGGGAAACAGAAAAAATGCTACAAAACATCCTCATAGTGTTGTGATAAAACCCCAAGCAGTGCAACAACTGGAGAACCCCAGACATCAGAATCCTCATCTCTAGCAGCAGCAGAGTCACTGCAAGCACTTCTTTTGACTGTTATTACTTTGTTAAAGAGAATGCATATTTATTCACACTGAAGGTAGACTTTACATTTACAAGTCTTAGCAAATACTTTCTTTCAACCTTGTCTGTTTCAACACAAACACTACCACAGGGAAAGAGAAAAATGGATCAATCATCTCTCGAGCCAGTGTGCTGATTTGATGTGCCTTACATTCTTACTCTGCTGAACATTTCTGCTGGTAACAGCAACATATTACCACATATTATTTTTCTCAGTTTTAGCATGTTCTTCGGGGGTTAATTTTTGGCCATCGTTTAACTGTTCCTCTTTTTTTTTACACTTCTTAAAAAGTGTAGTGTCGACTTCCTTCAACATCTGAATTTTTGTTTTTCTTGTGTTACTGTTTTGCTGGTCGTCGTATTTTAAATTACAGGGTTACTCCAAGTATTTATAGTGGACATGCACATCTATAAAGGGGGATTCATGACAGACAGAATTAACAACTGATTTTCATCTTGGCTGAAACATCTCCACATTAATGCTTTCCCATATTTTGACCTAACACGTTTTCAAAAGACCCAAGTCTTCTGTTGTACCTGATGACATCATTACAAAATCCTTTGGACTATATAGGACTATAATATGTAAAACTTGTTAAAGACCAACTTAGGCAATTCTGGTTTCATCAGGAATCTTAATTCCAAAGGTAAAAAACATTACCTAAAATATGACTTCTGTTCTTGAGAATGGGCTTTCTGGTGTCTTCAATCAAGAGAACTCAGCTCAATTTGGTCCAAACATACTGTGACAACCTGTTAGCTACATGTAGTCCAGGTTTAACAATACAACGGACCATGATCTATGCAAAAATGCAATCTAAAGCCAGATTCATCAACATTTATATTGCATTTGAGTATTAGTTTCAGACAATGTGAACCAAAATCTGAACTGGTCCTTTGAACCCTTTTTAGCCAGACAGTTTTCATACACCTTCATGTTAGCATTAAATATGTTTAAGAAAGTCCTGGTTATCAACGCACAAAGCCTCTACAGTATTCTACAGTCATACACACTCTGCTCTCCTTAATGGCTGCCTGTTAAAGATAATTGGTGATGAGCAGTAACAATTACACGAGATATTAAATGTAACAATTCAAAAGAAGGATTGAACACAGATTCTTTACATTTCTTGGGGGAAATGTGTTCAACCAAGAAGTTCAAAAACAAGCAAGTAAACACGGAGAACACAAGGTGTAACAAAAAAAGAACGGAAGGATTCTGCTACAGAGGTAAGAAGGTAACAATCATTTATAAAAGATTGCTTCATTAAAATAAATATCAAAACAACAAACTGAAGAAGAAATTGTGTTTATGTGGAGAAGGTGGATTGAAATCTAATCAAATATTTTAAAAAAAGTTCCTTTTATATGAAAGATTTCCTTTTTTTAATTTAGAAAAAAGATATGCAATTTACAGAAGAGGAAATGTGACAAATAAAAAAAAGGTTGAGGAAAAATCAAGAAATTCAACTCTTCACTGTTCATGTGCTGAATGTAGACAAGTGATACTAACAACAGCAAACAGTCCCATGTGTGCCAATGACACACTGAAAATAAACAGCTTAATGTGCGGTCCAAACACACATTCAATTCTTCTTTCATTTTTGAATTTTGACCCATTTTAAGATTCCATAATAACCATATTCAGATGTCGTTTCACATCGTTATCTAAGTTTGAATTCTGAGTACAAGAGCAAAACTTCTTTCCAAAACCACTGACATGGCACTAAGATGCCAGATAATCAAACAAAGATGTATCACTCAAATACAGTATATATAGATATATATATCTATATCTATACATAGATATAGATATATATATACAGTAACGCCTGTTGTTAAAGGTAATTTAAAAAACACATTTAAAAACAAATGTTTTGGTTGGGTCCAAGTGTTTGGAGGCCTCAAATGACCAACTGTGCAATCATAGACCTGCCCTGATCCTCAGCTGATGTCCTGAAACACTTATTCAACTTTGTTCTGCTCATCACACAATGATGTGAATTCATGGTTATAATATCTTAACTTTCTGTGGCATGGATTCTTCACCTGTTTTCTTTTTCTGGTGTTGCATTAAAAGCATCCTCAGTAGACTCCTTTTAATTTAACCACAGAAACATTAATGGAGGAAACAAATTGCACATGCTGCCCATTAAAACAATAAGTTAACAAATATTTGAATGTTTTGAAACACAAACAGAACTAATAACTTATAACTCAATCAAATCATTTTTGACCCCAGACACTTTTTACATGAACAGTGTATTTGACCCCTTTCATGTTTTTCTTTTACAAATGAAAAAAAAAAAAAACTGAATTGAAAAATAATGAACAAGATTAAAGATTACACAAATAGAATTTACAATTTTACTGTGGCGGAATCAATGAGTTAAGCTGAAAGAAATAAAGTGCAACAGACTACTGTATTATTTTAAGATAACATTACCTAAGTAACACCTCTGATTTCTCCTCAAACTGCCTCCACAGAGAGCATGACCTCGTGTGTCAGTGCGACCGAGGATCTGGAGAAAGACTGCCATCTAATGGTTACACTACTCAGACTTCTGCATTGAAACAGTTCCCTTAGACACAGCTGCAGACAAAGACAGGATCAATATCTGAGAGTCTCCTGGTTTGAACAGAAATATTTTCCCAAAAATATATGTTTATTACTCTGCTTGGCTCATAAAAATATTTCTTGTAACGGCAGCTGAAAAGCAAATAATGGTAACATTGAGGTCAGAACTCAATACACCTCCATCCTTAGTGATTTATTTCCAACTTATATCTACAGATCAATCTGGTAGAAACATTTTTTATAAGTGCAAATATTCACATCAATACAAAAAAGGAGCTGTGTGGCTTTGCATTAAGAGTGAAAGTGGATGGGATGTCTGTTTTAACTGCTAATGGACATGAAAAAATGATCCTTCTTTTATGATTTCATTTTGATCTGGTTCATCTTTTGGTCTCTCTCTGTGAAGCGTTCAGTGAAGCTGGAATGGACAGTTATGGATAAGCTTCAGCTGAGCTTATCAGGTGTGAAGACTTCTTTTGATGTTGCTATGTCAGAGTCATGATATATAAACATTGTTTATCTTCTTAACACCCCAAGAAACAGAATCAGTCTCATACCCGGCTTTCCACACTGATTTGGATCTTATCTGGCTGTCTGTCTCTATCAGCTCTAGTAGCTTCAGTGTTTCCATGTTTGGCTCTTGGGATAATTCAACCCATGAGTCCAGCTGTTTTTTTAATTCAATCAGGGCATTAAAATACCTTAACCGGAACAGTCTGCTGACAAAGACAGAAAGAGGTGGAACGAATTTGTAATATCCACTTGAACAACAATAACTCTATATTATAGAAAACATGATCAGTCTGGCTGATCAGTGGTTCTCATACTGTCAGCTTTAACAACCTGTCAGTTTCATCTGAAATCAAGACTGACCATAATGTCTCAGAGTCTGACCTTACCCACTACCATCAATGTGCTCAAGTGAAGCTCATATCATTCTAAAATGACTTCAAGCCTTTATATCTTAAGCTTGTGTGTGTGAGCCTTCAGGCAAATCACTGAGATTTTAAGGAGCCAAAGAAATCAGGGTGCATTGAAGTTGGGGTTAAAGAAAGTGTGATATAGGAGGGCCGGCTGAAGGACAAGACAGAGTGTGAAAACAACATGAACACTGATTCAGAAACTTGGACTTGAGAATGAGCTGAAGCCCTCAGTGCTAGTTTGAGGCATGTGAATGAATGTGAATAATTTAGCATGGCCAAGACTCAGTCCACGGCAAAGTGAAGTTCTTGTTATCTTACGTTAGATTTAACATACGTTTTAGCATTAGCGTAGCATTTTGTAGCATAGCTCAAGGTCCAATGAGTTGTCGAATAAAACCTTTTTTTTTAACATGAATCATGAATTTATCCAGTTTAAGAACTATTAAAAATTTTAAAAAGTCTTAAATTTCTGATTGTAAAACACTGGTTATGGACATTTTGTGTGCTTTGTCTAATGTTTCACTTTCTGATGGCAGCACAACGCTAATTCTTGAAGCTCTAAAATAGTGTTTTACCCATGTAGGCCTTAATACGTATAGATTAATATCTGTTGAGGCTACTGTTTTAGAAAACAAGAAACAGGTTGATTTAATGGAGAATTTCTAAATGATGGTAATGGATCAGTGCATTGATTGGCATACATGCCAAAAAGATATTGCATTTTATGCTTTTATTGATATCAGAACACATGTAGTGGATTCATTCTACATTGGTTGTATAAATCATGACCATCAATCATTTGAACGGGTATACCGTGAACTCTCCTTGGCTTTTTGTGGTTTACTTGGTAATTCTGTTTTTTCAGTAGAAAATGTTAAATATTTGTAATTTTGGAGTGAGAGCCAGAGAAAGGCCTTCAGTCTCAAAGTGATGTGCTACAGCAAAGCTGGCCGGAATAGGACGGAAAAGTTGGGCTCATTAAGAATACTACACTGGGTAGGTTATAATCTTAGAATGAGAATATCTCTTCTTTAGTGGTTTATTAAACAAATGCAATATAGTGTGCATAGAAATGAACAGTAAGTAGAAAATAAATAAATACAAAATCTCCAAATATAAAGGAATGACATTATTTTTTCGATTTAGACCATTGAAGGTTGGGTTTCATACACCAACAGCTAGAATACTTTACTTTTTGTTTTATACCTCAAGACCATTTTTCACATTTATCTTAAAATATATGAGATTTACATACTTTCTGGCTTCAGCTAATAATCTGTGATACATCTTTTTTTGAATGTATTAATACAGGAAAACTGTTAGCCCGTGTGTCCTCAGTTCAGACTGTCCGCCCCTTCCAGATCATGGGTTTCAGACTTTCATTTTCTTTTATGCGAAGCAACAGGATAAACTCTTCTGTTGTGAATCTGGTGAATAAGCCTATGCTTATTTTAAAACCAGTACAGATATGTACAAAATACCAACTCAAAAACAGGAGGGCTATTGACACACTGTGTTTTCTACTGGACTTTTCTCTACATCTTTCTGGAATGCTGTCTCATTTGCTCTTGCAGGCTAGGTACTGTATTTGATTGTTCAAACCTGATCCTGCGCACAATGTCTCAGACTAAACAGTGAACACCAGCGCTCAGGACATCTTGACATGTGACTGTGGTCAGAGACCTGAACCACTGATGAGGGTTTTAGAATCAGCAGGCTTTTACTTTTTTATGCTCAAAGGTGAGACAGTATTAACATGGAGGTAGCCCTTCATGCTGCGGAGGTCTGGAGGAAAGCTGTGAGTGAATATACAGTTTCTAAGCTTGGGGTTCATTAAGGTCATTGTGTGATAGGTTATGTGGAGGTTGGTCCAAACAACTTAACTTCTTTTGATATGGTTCACTTCCAAACCCACTGGAGGTATTATTTCCTCAAATCCAGATATCCAAAGACGCTCTTTCCAAACTGCCTTTGTTTTGTAGCATAGAAAACTTGCTGCTCTGCTACACCAGGACAAACATCCTGGTCATCAAAAGGAAGCAACGTTATCACCACATCTGAAGCTGCTTGAACTTTGTGGTGTGGCTTTCTGTGGGGAGTGTGGACCTGGTTGGGTCGGGTAAAAGTCTGTTGGCTGGAAGTTACCTTCGGAGCCATGGAGGAGCAGCAGCAGTGCAGTAACGGTGGACTTTGAGTTGACAGTGAGAAGATGGTGATGGTTTGACTGTTGTCAGTTTTCAGCCAGTGATAGGGCCAGAGCTGCCTGCAGTGCTGCCTCCTCGTCGATGCTGTAGTCCTGACAAAACGCAAAAACAACAGTAGCTTAATGCAAACCACTTAATGAAGCCCTCCTAAAATCGATATGTGTTTAAACCATCCATTATTTAAGGAGGATATTTGTGTTTATATGTATGAAATATGTAGGTTTATGGGACTATAAAAGGCTGTGCACCGTGTGACAATTCAATTTTGTTTTGATCAAAATGCCAAAGTATCTGACAGCCACCACATAAAATGTAAAACTCTTCAGTGTGAATCAGCAGATACAAACCTAGACTATGCAAATACATGTGATCTAAGAGACACCACTTCAGAGTAGACAAGAAAACATGTTTTCTTTAAGGTTTATGTTGAAGTAAACTCTATTTTTTTTAAGGAGAAAAACAATATCAGCACAGGACTTACAACAAAGGTATCATAAGAGAACTTGTGTCTGTGGAGGAGATGATGGAGGAAATTTGAGCTCTTATAGCTAGGGTCTCCCCATGGCATGGCTGAACACACTGGACACACCTGGAAAAACAAACACACAGCTTAGTTTAAATTTGTGGTTCTCAAAAATGGGGGGGGGGGCAGGCAGGGGAGCAAACGGACACTGTAGGTCCATGCACCAGTCCATGATCACTGGACTGGTGCATGGCAAGTCTCTGGGAAAGCACAGAGGAGAGGAGAACAGTGGATTATTGTCCTAGCTCTCCAACTCAAAACTATTTTTTTTGCCATTCCAGTCCTTTGCTTGCTAAGTATGAAGATAAGTATGACAGAGTAGTCTCTTACCACTTTATTAGGGTCATTACGGTGGTTTTCCATACAGTGCTTCACCAGTTCCTGCTGGTCCAGGTGTCTTGCCCCACAAAACGGGCACACAAATGTTGACCGGTTCGGAATATTGCTACATGGGCGGACAATCATACACAAAAAGACAGACGAACACAAACAGAAGACATTGAAAGGCTGTATCAGCTGATTCCATTCTCCTTAATTGTCTTAGCAATTTCATAGTTAATGGCCTGTCATGACTCAAAAAAATACACAGTGTGTATGTATGCAGTTACATATTTTGTGATTTCCTTGGACATTTTAGTACTTGATTTCTACATGGGGGAATTCAGAATGTATATAGAATGTAATGAGTTATTAAAGGAGCTATATCTACTGAGTGAAAATATCATCATCAGACATTAAGGAAACATGTTGTGTTGAAGTGCTGGCTTCTCTGAAAAAACAATACAGCAGCCAGTATGTCCTCCTTCTAAAGTTTAGATTCTGGTCTTGCATGGTCTGTAGTTGTCTTGACCCGAGAAGGAAGGCGGTACTAAGGCCCCCCCGGCCGGCCGTTAACATAACAAAATCAGTCCTCTCCGTGTCATCGTCATTACAGTTGCTAACATTATTATTGGACTGATAGGTCAATTACCATACTTGTTGTTACTTCTAATACTACACATACTATTACTGACATTGAAGCTAAACATCTATCTTATTTATTGTTGTTGTTGTTGCTCTGTGTGTTTCTATCCTTCTTCTTCCTGTATCTTCCTCTATCCCACTTTTCAAGCCCTAACACAGTTTCAACAGATGGCTGTTCATCATGAGTCTGGTTTTCCCACTGTAACTTTGCTAAATGTTGCTTAGTGCTCATGATGGATGCATGGTGTGTCTTTGTAGATAATATCACAAAGAGTAAGATGTTTTACCTGCTCTTTATTAAAGTGTCTTGAGATAACATCTGTAATGAATTTGTGCTATACAAATCAAATTTGATCGATTGACGCAGAAAGGTTTCAAGACCGATGCAGAGCTGGCTAAACACTGAAGCTTCCGCATCTGCCTACGTCACACTACAGCTTCAATAAGGCTACAGTGCCTGTGTGACTAGGACTCATGGGAACTGTAATTGTTGCATGCAATACAGAATTGTTGGCTCTACTTGAATGCTAAAACATGTCATTCTTGTAAGACTTCTTTAAATGAATAGAAAATGCTCATTTGAAAATGAGTTGTGTGTTTCTGTAAACTGACATTTCAGATTCAACTAAGCGCTGACATGGTGGGAGTGTGTGTACCTTGGTATAGGTTGAGAGGTGGGTACAACAGGAACAAACTTAGGACAGTTGGCTATCTGCTCTTGTACTTTAGAACAAGAGGCAATGTGAGACCTCATCTTTATCAGAGACACCTGAGAAGAGATACACACATGCACATTGTTATTATCGTACAACAGTAAAAAAATAAAATCACACTTCCCATTGTAAGGAACGTGTCTCATTGTGTTTTCAACAATTATTAATGGCTTCCATCTTCCTGAAGAATTGTACTAAGTGACCAGCTCTTCTGTGCATGCATATACGCCTGGGTTGATTATTTGTTAATTTTCACACCTTTCAGGGGACTGATATCATTTCTTGTAATTTGCAGTGGGCGTGGTTTTACCTTATTTTACCTTTTCAGTTGTGGGGCAGGAGGGCAGACAAAGAGGGCGAGTGGGTTTGAATATTGTCTCTTGACCGTCATCGTCAACATCATCTTAATTAACAGAATTTTTGGAGTTTTTATGTCGGATTATTTTGTCACTCGTTTCTTAAATAAACTGTCAAAACATATTTGGATGATCATTTTTGTTTGTTTTGTACAAATCAGTTACAAGCAGGGGGGGGGGCATTTATTCAATCATAGCAGCCACACATGATGGCATTCATTTAGAATTGGACTGATAAGTCTTTTTAACATGAGGGAAAAAAATGGTCAACATGTACCTTCTTGCTACAACCCCTGCAGGGTGCTTTGTAAGAGGCCAGCTGCTTTTCAACACTGGAAGAGCGATCCACTTTCTTGGGGTCGAAGGGAACACGACAGAGAGGGCAGAGGGGCGAGGTCACTTGAAGACATGGCTGCAGACACTCTCCACAGAACCTAGAACAGCAGAAAACAGCCAGAGGAGAAGTTAAGGTTAAGTTTTTGTAAAATGGAACCCCAGTGATGGTAATGAGGGAGGGCAAAGCACTGTGCCCTGTCGTCTCGGATTTATTCCTCTTGTCCAGGGAGCCCCTCTCATATCTGTGATCCACCTCTACCCCTCAGTTACCCTGATAAAACACAAGCGCTACTAGAGCCTTATTAAAGATCAGTGTCAATATGTTCAGCACTGCTCTCAGAGTAGAAGTGAGCCACTGTTTCATTATTACAATATTGCACATTTTAATTTGAAAGCATTCTTTGTTAATAAGGCTGCTGTTTCAAAATACTGAAAATTAAATTTTCTGAATATATCTAACAATTATATTCTGGTATTTTAATTCCACATGAATCAGTCAGTTTATTGTATAAAAACCATAATTACACATCTCCATCACAAAGATCCCTAACTGACTATCTAGCACTTTACAAAATGGTTATGTTTTCTTTTTTAGGTGGGGTTGTGGATGACAAAGAGGAAGTGAAAAAGATGTGTTTTTGGCAGAATCATTATTTGTATTTCACAGATATTTATTTAACGTTAAGTACAGAGGGAAGTCGACAACTGACTATATGTTCTTTTGTATACTTGTATGTATGGGCCAGTAAAAAGCAGGCATTAGTTTTTCCTCATGTTTCATCCATCCCCATCAGCTGCAGCGGAGTAAAAATAGCTTTATTTTTAACTAGAAATAGAACTGAGGTCTGGTCTGCTCTTTGTTGTTCAAAATGTTTTCAGTCTGATAGCCATGTCATTAGAATTGTGTTTTTCTTCAACTATAATCAATCAACAAGAGCGTTCACAAAATGCTTGTTAAATTGTAATTCCTTCTGCATGATTTTGGTCCAGGGAGACTTGTGGGGCTGCAGACCGACTGCTAAGGTGCTTTAACTTAATGAAACATAAAAACCAGACTTAAGGTAGAACCACTGACACTCAAACCAGTGATTCTGTGGAGGTGGAAGGCAGCTTAACTCCAAACAGCAATCTCCCAAATCAGTGTTGAATATTCAAATTTACTTCATTTTACATGCTCAGTTCAAGAAACAATGAATTTGAGAAACATCCTTTTTGACTCAGTCTTCACTAAAAATGGAACATTACGGTGAAATAAAAAAAAATAAACAAGTGTATGACATCTTACACACCCTGCCTGTAGTGACATATCTGTTCTTCACAACACATAGTCTTGCTGCATACAGGTTGCAGTTTTATTTTGCAAGCTAATTTTGTACTAACATTGCTTATAAAATATTAACATGTGATTTGATACCTTATTATAAAAAAAAGGCTTATTATTAAGAATAAGTAACATTCTGAAAGCGGCACATTTGTAGAAACAGAAAGGAAATATTTAAGACAGATGATTTAAGAACACAATTAAACGTGACTCCTGCATGCCAGCCCAGGAGAGGCGTACAGCTTCAAACAATTGTATAAGACTGTAGTAAGCTGATACTTGATTTTTAATGGAACATTTTTTATAATGGAGACTTTGGTCCTCTCTTAATAATATAAAAACAATCAAAACAAGTTTTAAACATGGCTGTTTGAATCATTTTATATCAATTAATTGTGATCAAATTGTGTATCAAACAAAAACGGATGGAAAAGCCATAATAGTCTTTAAACTACCTTTAACCTGTCATGGGCATTTCTGTACTGAACATCTGTGTAGGCCTGATTGCTGACATCTACCCTGATATAACACACTATGTAATGCACTCTGTAAATAAATTGTTTAGTCTAAAACAGAAATGTTGATGCATCCCATTCAAAGTTGTTAACATTTATGGTTTAATACATTTAGGTGACTCAAAAATTGCAATGAATATTGGTGAAAATCTGTACAGTATTTTAAAACGGAACGGGGTTTTAATTCATTTGATTGGCTTGTCAGATAATTCCACTCAGTTTCACAGCTGTGGAGCAAGAGGGAACAATGGAGTCAGAGGTGTGAGGAAAATATCATTTAACTTCAAAATGCAAACAGTGTCAGCCAAAAATAACTCTACAGCTCCAATGTGTAGCCTACATTGCATGTCTATACAACAACACACAACCAAAACAATAAGTCGCTGCTTTACGTGTGAGTGCAGCTGGCGATGCTGACGGGTTTATGGTAGACCTCCAGGCAGATCGGACAAGAGAACTGGCTCTCGATGCCCTCCGCCGGGGCAGACAGAGACCCTGTGCCGCTGCTGGGATGCTGCTGCTGGCGGAGCTGGGTGCTCGCTGAGACAAAGCTCCGAAACATCGCCATCATGGAGCTGGAGAAGATCTGAAATTGTCGACAACAGCTCGCCGCCCGAGAGAGGAAGCTGCCCAAGTGCGCAAACTGTAATGTCTATTGTATTATCCGTACAGCAATTTGAATACATGCCGTGCAAACATAGTGGCTCCTCAGCAGACGCGTAACACAATTATTGTCAGCAAACCAAAAGCATTACTTTCCCCTGGCTTGAGAGGACATGCTGTAGAAGTAAACATTGGGAGCAGTGTTCGTTGGTGAGAGTCACAGCGTTGCTAAGAGGATGACCTGAATAAAAAAGCACAAATGTATAAGCTCAGAAAGGAGCATTAATGCTGCATCCACTTGGATGTTAGATCAGCGCGTTTCCTCCCCGTGCCAGTGGACGCTGCGACGGACGACAGGCGCGCTTTGCTTTGTGGAGGTTGGAGTCCTGCTTCATTATCCGACACTACTCTGCATTCCTGTTGAACTGCAATCCCACACGCCACTTCGGAGGTGTAGAGTAAGCGCACTTGGACAAAAGTCCTGAACAAAGAAAGATGATTTTTGCTTGAACAATATGATAACGTCATCTAGCCAACCTCACGAGACTACACTCACGTTATCACAGGCCAATAGAGACTCATTTATGTTATCTATTAAATAAAGACAATTTGAAAAGTAGATATCTTTTTGTCTTCAAACATTTAAACATGATTAGCGCGTTAAACCTTAACGGTCTCATAATCATAATATTATTAAAATGAATAATAATAATAATAGTCATTTTGCAATGAATCTTCAGTTTCTGACTTATTGAATTAATGTTATTCTGCCCAGTACTTTGATTTTATTTAGTAGGTTATATGTTGAAAATGAATGAAAAAATGAATTGATGTTTACTAATTACTTCAGATTGAGAAGTTGTGAGCAAATGAACAGATATCTAAACTTCATGAAACGTGAATTTGATTTAAACAAATAGATTAAAGTACCAAAAAGAGAGTTCTAAATTTGGTTCTGCCCAGCATTCTTCTCTCCTCTCCTCTCCTCTCCTCCCATCCCATCCCCTCTCCCCTCCTCTCCTCTCCTCTCCTCTCCTCCCCTCTCCTCTCCTCTCCTCCCATCCCCTCTCCTCTCCTCTCCTCTCCCCTCCTCTCCTCTCCTCTCCTCTCCTCTCCTCTCCTCCCATCCCCTCTCCTCTCCTCTCCTCTCCTCTCCTCTCCTCCCCTCTCCTCTCCTCTCCTCCCATCCCCTCTCCTCTCCTCTCCTCTCCTCTCCTCTCTTCTCTTCTCTAGTTTAACATAGTGTAAACTTCAGAATATAGATCTATACTTGAACTTCACAAAGTTTGGTAATGACATTCAATAAACTGATATTTAATATTTGGCTCTAGATCTACACCAAGTCAACCTCTCATCTCCTTCTGTCTCTCTTCTTGTCTTCTCTCTGAAAGAAAATGGAAATATAAGGAGTGTCATATATAGTTAAAAAAACATTTAAGATAAATTATTGCATACATTCTTCCAAATCACATATCTAATACAATTCTACAATTCACTTAGCAGACGCTTTTATCCAAAGCGACGTACATCAGAGAGGAATAGGAAAGATAAAGCAACAACAACAAAAAGGGGGGGATTGCTGTAATACAGCAATCTTTAAACATATTTCACCAGACCTTTCCACAGAGCCGGATTCATAAATGTATGTTCAGTGTAAAATCCAAATAAAATGACACAAGAGTCATTCACCTTTGATAAAGTTCAGACACAAACATTTTACGTTTTGGAAATTGATCCAAACGTAGTTATTGTGCTCTACATAAATGATGTCTTAGCTCAACTGAAGGAAATGTAAAAAGGATTTAGGATGAAGAGACTGAGATGATGGTTTGTGGATTTAAAAAAAAGTGACGATAAGAAGCAGAAATGACATAGTTAGACAAGGGAAACCATGTATGTAGTGTCAAATGTGTTAATGAGTACAATAAAGGCTCTAAAACTAGATAGGACCTTAAATTAATTAGTGATAAATAGATCCACTTAACCTACTTTTCAGGGGGGTCAAGAGATAAGCATATATCCCTTATGTTATTTTCATTTCAGATAACTTGATTGACATGGTATCTAGCCTAGTGTAATTATAATTTTACGATAAGTCATTAACATTATTTTTATTATAGAAATGTATGTTTTGTTTGTCATAACCATAGACTGTAGGTCATTTTGGGGCGGCAGTAGCTCAGTCTGTAGGGACTTGGGTTGGGTTGGAGAGGTGCCAGATTGCTTCCTGAGCACTGCCGAGGTGCCCTTGAGCGAGGCACCAAACCTCCTCCCCACCATCAGCTCAGGAGCGCCCGCTGTGGGCAGCTCCATCACGCTGACATCTCTCCATTAATGCATGTCTGTTTGTGCATGTGTATATTTCAGCCTGTGTGTGTGTTGCATGACTTACAGAGTGTAAAAACAGAAATTCCCCTCGCGGGATCAATAAAGTAAATCTTAATCTTAATTAATCAATCAATCAAACTTTATCTATACTGCACCTTTCAGATAAATTAAATTGCAGTTCAAAGTGCTTAACAAGAGTGCAGAAAAGTTATTGACAAAAAGTAGTTTATAAAATCATTGAGAGACTATAATAACTCACTGCTTTTTCTATTTGGACCCACACTTCCCACCACTAGGTGGCGGTAAGGCATAATTCCTACAACGACAAGAAGATTTTCCACGTCATCAAAGCGAGCCAATGTTTAGAGCCGTGGCTGTGATTACACCAGACACGAGTGTGTAGCTTCAGCTCGGTTGATACTGATTGAAAATACAAATGAAGTTAATATGTAATGACATTATAGCGAAGCATAGAGTAGCCAATGACATCTCAGAGAAACGGGAGGCCAGTATATAACAATTTGATCTCATCGTTAAAAGAAGTTCTTGTAACTTTCTTTGAGAAAGAGAAGTAAGTTAGAGGCAAGAAATAAGTCTCAACCATCACCAGCGACTAGGTAGAAGTAGAAGAAGTGGATAAGTATTGGTCTTCCCGATGTGCCAGGTGGAGGAAGAGTACCATGAGCAGCTGGAGCGCGCGGCGGTGCCCAGGTGGGTCTGCTCGGTGTCACGAGACCACCGACCTGACTGTCAGGTGTAAACTGACAACAAATGATCTCATTCTCTTTAGTCAGTCCTGAGACTAATGAGCACAGGAGTACAAAGCACAGAAGACAATCTGGTCCTCACTGAAATGACAAAAGAATGATTTAAAACGAATCAAATGTTACTTTAGATCATTTCCATTACTGTTGTGTGCCGCCGCGAAAAAATATACATATCCACAGTCAAGCCTTTATTGAAATGAATTAATTTAATGTGGACAGTTTTAATGATGTCTTTTGCTTCACATGTGTTAGTGTCTCCAAAAAATGTGTGAAATGCAAAGAGGGGACAGCAGCTGTGGTCATCAAAGCAGGAGATGCATACTGCAGGTGAGACACGCAGCACTGTCTGTTCTGAACACTCGTTGGATTGTGTCATATATTAAAGAATATATGTGTAATATATTAAAGAATATATGTGTAATATATTAACATTGAGAAACATAACGAGTGTTGTGCATGTGAATCAGACTCAGGCAAAGATCTGAGCTTAAGTTGTGTAAGGATTCTGATGGCATTCATGCATGAACTGTTACGTGTGTTTTTTTAGGCAACATTAAAACACAAGAGTGCCTTAGATTCTTTGTTTTTCTGCTCTGATAGATTTATAATAATGAGGGAAGATCAATGTTTTTAATAACTCATGAAGTTATTGATAGAAAGTGAAAATGTGATGGCTGTCTCTTTCATACTGAAACAACGATGCAGATAGTGATGAGTATCTTTGGAGTGATTAGAAAAACATACAACAACAACAACAGCAATATTATCAACAACAACAAAAAAGTGATTATCGAACAGACATTTTTCAAACTCAAATATCATCATGTGCGATTATCAAAAAGGAGGAAATCAGGAATGATGAAGGCAGCCTTCACTCTCTTTTTGAATCCATTTCTTTAAAAACACTTTTTCTCAGAGACAGACCTCATACATCACTGTTGGTGCAGAGTTTGCTGAACAAACAGTCTAGTTACATCCAAGGAAACAAGGCTACAAACTGAGGTGTGATGTTCAGACAGAATCTAGTCTCATTCCAGCATGACGACACATTATGACACCCAAAGGACTTCTTATTTTCAGACAGGCTGAACCCTCTCACATGCCTGGTGGATCAGTCAGTCGATCATGGCAAACACACACACTTTATACCAAAATGTATATTTCTAGCTCAATGAATGATGGCCTGTCTCTTATATAAGCATGTCTCTCTGCAGTGTAAATAAATATAACCACTGTTGAGTATTTTTTGCGCTCTCTCCTTATTAGTTTTCTGTTTCTGTATTTCATATATCTGATCAGTTGGATGTGTAGCTGGGAGAAAGTGCCATACATTGTTTTCATGCCTTAAGAAGACATGAACTGTCTTTTTAGTTGCTTTTTCTAACATCCGTTGTCTGTCCGTGTTAGGGAATGTTTCAAGGAATACTTCATCCATAAGTTCAGAGCCATGCTGGGCAAAAACAGGATCATTTTCCCTGCTGAGAAAGTAAGCTGTGTGACCAGTTTTTACTTTTTAATATCTATTACGGATCACTCTTACTTGTCATTGCACAACACTAGAGACCTACAGCAAGTCATTTTCTGATTCCTCTGTATAAACAGAATAATGAGTATTTAACACAGGTTCTCTGGTTGTAGGTGCTGCTGGCTGTCTCTGGAGGTCCTTCTTCCTGCTCAATGCTCAGACAAGTCCAAGAGGTTCATCTGTTTGTCTCAAAGTCCATCTGTGTAGTCACTATGAGGGAGAGTGCACAAACATAGAGAAACATTGAAATAGGATGTCTGCTTTTCCCTGTGGCGAACATCTGTCATGGTTGTGTTATGTTGTCATGGCTGTGTTATGTTGTCATGGCAACTGTTTATTCAGTGTGATCATCAACACTAAAATGTCTTAATGTTAGAGTCAGTGACCTACCATGTTTTGTCAAATGATCCTTTTGAAATATGGATCAAAGTACCAAAATCGTAAACATGAAATGATAATAGAAGATGATGAAACTTAAATCTCTAGACTCAGTCAAGATTCTTTATAAAACTGTCGATGCATCATAACCTTGTGTTTCTTTTTCAACGCTACAGAGACTAACGACCTTTCTTCCTCTCAGGGTTTGAGTCAGAATGCTCACAACAAGTTGAGATTCTTACCTGGAATTGTCTACATTGATGGTAAATAACATGACAAGTATTCCTCTTAAACTGAGTTGATTGGTTTCCAGGTCAACGTTGAACACTTGTTGTGTTTTGTCTTTCCAGAGGGAGGTGCTATAGGTCAGTCTGTGGAGGAGAGGCAGAGGACTGTGGCTGAGCTGTGCGCTGTTTTCAAAGCTG